TCTCGGCTTCTTTCGCCTTTCGGCGCAGCTCCGCCCTCCTTGCTGCATATCCTGGCCCCTCGAGTCTATCGAGCTCTCCTCGAGCAAGGACGAGTCTTCTGACGCCCACTGCTATCACCCCTCTGAAAGAAAGAAAGAAAGAAAACAGACAACCCAAGAGAGGGATGGGAGGACGGCACGCCGCCACCACACAGGGATTTTATGGAGAGGGTGTGTGGTGCGCTAGCCGTCGCCCACCCTAGGGAGTCTGCCTCTTCCTATCTCTCTTCGCAGTCTCTCGCCGCTTCTCGCTGCAACCTTCATGCCACCTCGCGGTCGTCCCACTCTCGTCGTTCTCTCCCTTGTCATTTCCTCCTCTGTCGCGTCGTTCTCTTCTGCCTCGTCCTGTGCCGCCGCCGCCTGCCGGTCCCTTGTTCTCTTTGTAAAATGAACTCGGGGGCACGGGACCAGGCACAAACGGGGCACAAACGCCAGGCTACAAAGACGGGGAGGCACGTAGTGACGCAGGGGAGTCTGCCCTTGTTCTCTGTACCTGTGTTAGTGCCAAAGTCACGCGGCAGCACTTGGAGCACTTGCAGGTTGAATTCTCTTCCCCCGTCGGATAGCGCGAACTGCGGCCGCGCGGCTCCGCACAACACTGGTCCGTGCTGGATGCTAGCCATCCTTGCCGTCTCCACGCCTGTGGTCAACCTCCCTGTCTCCGGCCGCCTCCTCTCCTCCGTCCCGCCTCGCGCTGCCCCCATCGTCGCAGCAAACCGCTCGCCTCCTCCGCCGCCCAGACCTCCATCCGACCCACTCTCGGCCGCCGCCGCGTCCGCGGCGGGCGGTGTGACGGACGCCGCCGTCCGAGCCTTCATCTCTCGCGCTGAGGACGACTTTAAGCGCGCCGGCCGGGTGTTTGCTCCCGTTGCCGCTGCGTTTGCTCCCGGGACCAAGGCGGCGACACGGGCGGGCGCGGCCCGCGACTTTATCTTGGCTGCCGCGGTGAGTGCCGCCGCCGTTGAGGCGGCGCAGTTCTGCGCCGTCTTCCTGCTCTCGTGGTGGCTCGGATTTGGCGCGCCAGTCGGCCGCGCGCCTCGCCCCTACATCCCGGGCAGCAAGCGGCTCAACGCCGCAATCCTGTGCGCGCTGGCGTCGCGCAGCCTCACCCGGCCGCTTCGACTGCTCGCCGAGCTGAGCCTCGTCAGCCCCGCGCTCCGCCAGCTCCGCCGCCGACGCCCAAAGGCGCGTGCTGTCTTTGCGGCCGGCCAGCTCGTGGCAACCTCCGCCGCCAGCGCGGCGCTGCTCTTCGCGGTCGCCACCGCAGACAGGCTCGTCGCGCCTCCTGCTGTCGCGAGTGCCGTCCCTGTCGCGGTCTTCTGCCGCGCTGTGTACGCTCGCACCGTCGGGGCGCTGGGTGGGTGGGTGGGTGTTACAATCCCCTCTCCGGCGGCAGTGCAGGCGGCGGTGAAGGCGCTCTGCGTGTCTGCGTGCGACGTCGGCCGCTGGTGGGCTGGGATCGCCGCCAGCCTCGGCGAGGCGGCGCGCCAAGTCAAGCCGCTGCGGGCGCTGCTTGACTTGGCGGAGACGGACGCTTGGCTAGCCGACGCCTTGTCGCGCCTCTTTTGGCAACGGTGAGGCCCACAAGCGAGAGAGACTCGGGTCTCGGCGGGCGTCACTCGGAGAAGCTCAGTGTGTGCGCGCAACCCAAAAAACTCCTGTAGACTTCAGCGCTTACTGATAAAACTACGAACAGAAACTTACGAACTACGAACAGCCTTCAGCATAATACCCCCACGGGACCTTCCCGGTGGAACCGTCAAATAATGTCCGCTGTGGCGCAGAGCGTAACGCCATCCACGGGCTGCGAGAGCTCCAACCGCGCCGGGCGGCCGCCGGCAGCCACAGACCGCCAACGGGGCGACCGCTTGGACGTGCGGCCGTCCAACTCGCCGTCGACGCACGGGGCCCAGACAAGAGCCGCGCCTACATGAGGTTCACGGGTGTAGTCGTCCTCGCCACGTAAATATCCAGGTCGCTGGACGGGCCGATAGTGCGCGCCATCTGTGGCGCGGCCACGCCAAGGGGCAAGACAGAGATGCCGGTCTCCAGCAACATCCGGAGCGAGAGTGAGTCTGCCGTCCTAAAGGGTACGGGAGCGGTGCGGTGAGGCCCAAACCTTGCCCAAAGACTGCGGCGGCGCGGGCGCTCTCAACGACCCACCTGCCACAGTGGCGACTTCTCGCGCCGCCGCTGTCGGCCTCGTGGCGTCCCCCGGGGCTTCTCGCCGAGCCTCCGAGCCCCCTCGGCGGCAGATGCGGACTCTCCCGCGTCGCGCACCATGGCCTCGAGCTCGCGACCCAGCTCTGCAGTTGTCGCGGCAGTGCGCAAGAGCGCCGAGCCACCGACGTCCCCATGCCGCTCCAGACGGAACACCACTTCGCTACGACTTCGGGCAGCGGACTCGTTCTCACACGAGCCCAGCTGCGCGAGTGGCAGGTGCGGGGGCTTGGGCGCCTTGCGCGGACCCACCCGCAGGCAGAGGCGAGGCGAGACTCCCAGCTCGGCCAAACCGTGCGCAACGTGCGAAGACCGTCGGCCACCTTTGGCTTCGGGGGCTTGAAGGGCGGCAGTGGCTTCTTGTTCACCTACCGTCACGGGAGGGAGTGAGCACCCAGGCTCCCCGAGACATGTCACAAGGGATGCGTGCACGCCTGAGCCTGAAGCCGCTCCACCTTCCACTGCTGAAAGAAGTCGAAGAGCTTATCGCAGCGCTCCCGGCGGATGCCGGTCTTGAGAGGGCCATTGGCAATCAGATCCATCACCTGAGGATGGGGTCTCAAGCGTCGGGTCGGGTGGTGAGGAGAGGGGTGCGGCACTGTGCTGGTGGTGCCTGGAGGATGTCCGTCATCTTGGGCGGAAGCTCCACCTGCTTGTGCCCGCGGGCCCGCATGAAAGCGGCCTTGACGGCCTCGGTCTTGTGTGGGCCACAGTTGTCCCAAACTACGAGCACGCGACCCGTGCGGCGCGCCGCCCACGGGATCACCTGCACCTCGTGCCACATGCAGATGCCGGGCGTATCCATCCACGCCTTCACCTGGCAGGTGATAATCTCCAGCGACTCCTCGTGGATGAGGTAGGGGCGCCGGTGTGTCTTGGTCTCGAGGGTACCCTTCTTTGCGCCCTTCTTTTGCAGCGACAGTTCCCGCTCCCAAACCTTGAGAGACCACCCCTCCTCGGCGGTGAAGCCCGACTCCTTGTGCAGCGAGCTGAGCACCTTTGCCGACGTGAGGTCGACGCCCGTGACGGAGCACTTGATAATACCATAAGGTGGGCCCATCTCGCCGTCGCCGGCGCCGAAGAGCATCTCAGTGAAGCGCGCCTATCATGAGATATCACTGGTTATCAGTCTCCATGGCTCGGCTGCCCGTGCCCCGGGCTCTCGGCACGCCTTCTCGTCCGCCTCGGGCGCCGTCGCGCGCGCGGCGTCCGAGGGCACGACTTGGTACTTTGGCGCGGCGCCGTAAAACACGCCCGTCTCGTCGGCGCTGATGATCTCGGCCGGAGTGATGTTGTCGGCCTCGATGGTCTGCTGGATCTGGCTCATCTGAGCCTGCACCGCCGACGGGTCGGGCAGCACCTTCTCGCTCGCGGTGATGCGCCGGCGGCGAAGGGCGTTGCGCCGGAGGAAGCCGAGGACCCACTTGGTCGAGAACTTCAGAGCGCGCACCTTTGGGTCGTCTTTGAAGATGGCGTAACCCCGGACCTTCTCGGCGGCACGCACAATCATCAGATTCGAGTACGCGACGTTGGCCTGCACCACTGCCGTCTCCTTGTCCTGGACTTTCTCGAGGCTCGTGTAGATCAGCTCGTCCAGCACCGCGGTCTCGAAGGCGGCGTTCACCTTGCGCCCGCCGCCGCGTTTCGCTCGCTTGCCCGACCGCTCCTCCTGAGCCGCCGCCTCGCGCCAGCGCTTGATCTGTTGCGCCTTGACCTTCTCAAAGCCATTGATGAGGCGCACCTTCTTCGCCGCGTCGGCATCGGTCATCCCGGCGGTCTGGTCCAGGATGGCGCGCTTCTGCTTCTGCGTGTACACGTTGCGGTTGGCAGGCATCTCCACCTTGGCCTGGCGCACATCGAGGGTGAGGTGGACCCACCCCCACTCGCGATGCTCGGCGTTGGGGCCGACCTTCAACTTGGCCATCACCGGCCGCTTCTGGTCGACGACGATCTTTGTCACGCCTGATGACCCCGCCGCCGCCGCCGGAGGCGCGACGACCGCCTGGGTCTGGCCAGCAGCGTTGGAGGGTGGCCGTGCGAGCGCGGACTGAAGGGCGGACGTCGGTGGCGGCGCCGAGGAGAGCTGCAGAGTCGGCGCACCAAACGCGAGGGTCAGCTGCGTCTTGGGCATTGGCTTGGGGTAGACTAGGCTCGTCCCCGCTAGGGTGAGCAGCAGCAGCATGCACACCAGCGGATAGGCGGCGGGGACACGTCAGCGCGTCAGCCCGTTCGGACCAAAAAAGAAATCAATGGCGCCGCCATGCTGCTACCCCGTGCCTAACTGCTGCTACCCCGTGCCTAACTCAGTGCAAAGCACCTAACCTAACTCAAGCTACCTTACCTAAAGTTCGGCACTTCGCGGTACCAGAGAACGCCGTTCTCACCCAGAACAGGCCAGATGTCGGCCTCTCCTGCCTCCGTTTGCCCAAAGTGCGAGCCGCTAGTCGCCTCAGCGCTCGCCGCAGAGCTTGCGCGCGAGGGCGCCGCGGCGCGAGTCGAGCTCGAGAAGCAGCGGGAGCGGGTCGCCGAGCTCGAGGCGGAACTGCGCTCGCTGCGTCTTGAGCTTGCCGTGCGGAGCTCGAGCGGGCCGCCCACGCTGCTCTCTGTGCCTTCGGCCTCGGGCTCCGACATCTCCGCTCCTTATTCGTACACGCGCAGCCCGGTCAAGCGCCAGCCCGCGTATCCTCGGCCACCGGCGGCGCCGCCGCCCGCGCCGCCCGACGCGACTGCCGCCGCGGCCGACCTCTTCGCGCGGCTCCTTCGCGGCGAGCTGCGCTCCTCGCGGCCGTCGTCATCGAGCGGCGGCGAGGCGCGCCAGGCAGCGACCGTGCTGCAGGCGCACCTCCGCGGGTGGCGGCAGCGCTCGCGGTATGCGGCGGCGCGTCAAGTCTTTGCGGTCGTGACGGGCACGTCGAGCCTCGGCGCGGCTGGCGCGTGGCGCGACGTGCCGACCTACACCATCACCGTCATCCGCGCGGGCTGCTGCTGGCAGGTTGCGCACCGTTACTCCGACTGGCGGCGGCTGCACAGAGCTCTGCAGGCGGCCGGCGCCGCCCCGCCGCCGCTGCCGTCGCGGCTCCCGTTCGGTGGCGCGTCGGTGGTCGAGCGGCGGACCTTCGCGCTCAACCGGTACCTGCAGCGGCTGCTGCCCCTCGCCTGCTCCTCCGCCCGCCCGCGCGCCGTCCTGCTCGCCTTCCTGACCAGCTCGCACCTCTACTGGGAGTACGACCTCGCCACGGCACCCGTACGCGGAGAGCGCGCGGCGCCAGCCTTTGCGGATGCAGCCGCGGTGTACGACCGCTCGACGGGCACCACCGCGCAGTCGCACACCCAAGGCGTGGTCACGCCGTCGCCGGTCAGCAGCCCTGTCACGGTCAGCTCCACGACCACTAGCCTCGGCACAGGGCGCGCGAGTGGGCTGCCGTGGCAGAGGCAGCCAGGGAGAACGGAGTCGGAGAGCTCGCGAGCCGGTGTGTAGCTGTGATGTGTTTACCCGTACTGATGGGGACGTGCGAGCGAGAGCGCGCGACGGGCGATAAAAAAAGTACGCGACATACGGTGTCGCACAGGCCGCTCAAGGAAAAGGGGGGGCCTAACGCTACGAAGGGCAAAAGAGGCGCCGAAGGCGCCCCCAGAGCCTAGAGGGGGCACGCAGCGTGCCTAGTGTGCCGCTTTCCCCTCGCGCGCCTCGCCCAACGGGGCCACCGCGCACCGGGGCACCGCGTCGGTGTGTGCCCGCCGCTTACGTACGTCCCGACTCCCGTGTCCGAACACGCGTCTCGCACGGGGCCAAGGCCTGCGCCTGGCCGAGCGTCGCGCACGGCCACTGGCAGTCTCAGCGCGCTCTCGTCGCCTCGGCGCACTCAGGCGCGTACTGTCTGACGTACTCGAGTACGCTGACCCCGTGTCCCGTGTGCCGTGAGAGCGAGAGACTGAGCTTCTGAGGAGACACACAGACACACCACACGAGAGACGAGTGGGGAGTGGTCCTCGCGGGGCGGGGGGCGGCGGCGGCCGGCGGCTTCACATCCCGCAGCCTTACCTGGCGCGCCTTCGCTGCGGCTGGGGCGGAGGATTGAAAGGCATTGGTTCCCGATCGAGGCCCCGCGACTCGGGGACCACCTTGCGCATGGCGAGCCGAGTCTTCATCCGCGACTTTGCGAGGCGTAGGACGTTGACGGCCAAGAGCAGCTGGAGCAGGACCACCGCGGTGGACACGCCGCCAATGATGATGCCGTTGTTCATCATCCAGTCGACCGCCTGCGCGAGGAACTCCTCGTAGCCCTCGTAGCCGTGCGAGCAAAAGTTCGTCTCGCAGCTGGCCATGGAGAAGCCGGGGATCAGGTGCTCTGCGGTGAGGCAGGCGGCGGGCGAGGGGACGAAGGACATGACCCCGGACGACCCCGAGATGTAAGGGCAAAAGTTGGGCGAACCCGGGTCGAGCAGGGCCTCGGCCACATCCACGGTGCTCCCTTCGTGCGACGAGATGCACGTGCCGTCCTCGCCGAGGAGGGGGTCGCGACAGCACTCCTGATAGAATCGGCACATGCTGCCTTCCACCTCGGCAAGCACGTCTGCCCCGAGCCGGCCGCTAAACTTGCCGTCCTCGGCATCGCCGCCCTCCAGCAACGTCATCGCGTCCTCAGTCACCGCCTGCAAAGTGTAGACCCAGTAGGCGACCAAGCCCGCGAAGGCGAGCTCGATCAGCAGGGTCAACAGGTAAAAGATAAAGACCGTCGTGAGGACGAAGCGCGACTTCGAGCAAAACCCGATGAAGGTCCACAGCGCGATAGTTGAGAGCAGCCCCCCGAAGCCCATGACGACAATGAGGGTGGTCTCCCCGACAAAGGGGGCAACGAGGTCGTTGTTGACCCAGTAGCCGTACGCCCCAGCGGCGGCAGTCAACGCCCCCGCCAAGAAGATTATTGTGGTGAGGACCGCCGCGACCGCGATGGAGCCCCCGGCGGGGCAGCAAAAGGTGTTCATGGCGAGGCCGACCACCAAGGCGGACATGACCAGGACGCCGAGCCAGATCCACTGCATGTACTCCTCGGCAAGCTCCTCGTACGACTTTGGCGCCGCCTGTGACAACACGAGCCCGGTGTGAGTGACGCGCCGCGCAGACCCGGTGCGATGGCTTCCTCTGGCTGCGCACCGACTCGACAGGCGCCACCGGCCCGGCGGAGCAGTCGGCGCGGTTGTGCAGGGGCGTGTAGCACTGGGCGTCGCACACTGGGGACGGGCTCGAGGAGTAGCCTCGTCCACTGTTGGTTGAGCACGGGTCGTCTCCCAGGTCGCACTTGGACCGCAACCAAGCGCTGGGCGAGGACCGCCACCGCGGGTCGCCGTCACATTCGGCGGAAGAGGTGGCGCTCGCCGATTGGTCGTGGGATGTCGGGCCTGAGCAGCGAGATGCAACGTAGGTGCAGCCTTGCTGGTAGCCCCACTGCATGCAGTTTGCTGAGCTGTAGTTGGCGAGATAGAAGCCGGTGTCCTCCATCGCTGCGAGCGTGATGGAAGAGATCAACGCGGATTCGCCGTATGACATCACATCGTCGCGGAGGATCCGAGTGTCCCAATGCGAGTTGCGCCCAATATCTGGAAGACCCATCAGCGGCAGCCCGTCCCACGCGGCCTCGTCGTTACATCCAAAGTACGCCTTGGCCATCGCGTGCGTGCGGCTGGTCGACTTGAAGTGGTACACGCGGTCCGTGGCGCCGTCGGCGTCGTACACCTGTAGCAGCTGCAGCAAATGCTTCGCGCTCCCATCCGAGGCTCGAGCATTCGCGAAGAAGGCGTGGCTGAAGCCCATCGCGTGGATAATCTCGTGGCGGATGAAGCCGCGGTAGGCATCAATCATGGCCTGGTCGGAGGTGGCGTCCGCGTCAAAGTCGTCCATCCAGGCAATCACAAGCCAGGTGGGTCGTTTGCCCATGATGAGAGGGGCGCAGCTTGAGCCCGTGCCAAGGACACCGGCGATGGATGGGGGCCGTGTGACAGAGAGAATGGCGTCAGCATCGACGCCTGTGGTGCAGTACGACTCCGCGACCGCCACGTTGGACAGATAGTGGCAGTCGGCCGCGCACCTCTCTGTTGGTGTGTAGCCCTTCTCCGTCAATGCGCGTTGGAACCGGCCCTTGCTGCGGCCAAACACGAGGTTGCTCGACGAGCTCTCGACAGAGAAGAAGGAGCCCATCTCGCTCGCGACCGCAGTGACGGCCGTCACAATCTTGGCCTTTCTTTCCGCAGTGATTACGTCCGCCGCTTTGCAGAGACCCCAGCAGCCATCTGTGAGCGCGGCTAGCGGGTTTGCATCGTCGCAGGTGGGCACGCCATCGGCCGGAGGGCTAAGCTGGAATGCAGGCAGGCCCCTTCGGTACCAATCCCCCACGGCAAAGCACGCCGAGTACTGCGGAGCGGAAGACGCGTCCAGTGATGTGAAGTCCAGGGCTAGGCGGATCGGATTTGTGTTGTCGTATGAAAGTTCGAGCCTGCGGTGCCGCGAGAGGCTGGCTCGAGCCGCTGACGTCGGTGATGGTGATGGATCAGGCTCGAGCACGGCCGAGAGGGGTACGAGCGAGCGCGGTGGCCCATCTCTGGCGAGCGTGAGGAGCGACGCAGCCAACATTTTAGGGAGGAGCGCGGTTTTTTGTCGGCGACGGTTTCACTTTGCGTCGTGGAATTGAAGGCGCGACAAAATGAAAAAAGACTAAATTTCCACAAATTATCAGCAAAAGTGTAGCGCCCGAGCCGCCGAGGCTGGCAAATGCGACGCGGCGAGCGTTCCGAGCTCAGCGCACGCAGACCACCGGTCCATTTGCTCGGTGGCGGGGACGCAATCAACGCGGGGGCGGTAGGTGTCGTAGGCCTGGAGCAGCTGCTGCTCGCCCCCGCCGGTATGGCGGCCCGCCGCCTCGTCGCTGCGGGCGCTGCCAAAGTGCTGCTCCACAAAGGACTCGAGAGCCGACTCGTTGGTGGTCGCACCCATCAGCCTGTGCATCCGGTGAGCGACGCGGCGCGGCGTCGTCACAACCTCCTGGAAAGTGAGCACCACCCCGCGTGTGGCGGGGCGTGGCAAGCGAGCCGCGGCAGCACCGCCGCTCTCCACGTCGCCGTCCCGCGCGTCGCTGGCGTTGGACGGCAACGCATTGGACCGCCTGCGCGCCCTCTGTCGCCGCCGGCGGCGGAGCGGCAGGGCGGATTGCATTCGCTGCAACGAGCGCACCGCGCGGACGTCCTCCAAGATTGGCGCGCAAAAGTCCTCAAGCTCTCCCTCAAGGCCGGCCGTCTCTGAGGCCCCGGCCGCCAGGCGGGGCGGAGACACTCCCTGCGCGCCTCGAACCCGCGACTCGCGGCCGGCGCCGGCGTCGCGCCGGCGGGCCCTGGGCGGCCGCCCCTTCTCGATCTGCTTGGAGTGCTTTTGCGAGCGCAAGGTCGCGACAGGATGTCGGACGAGCTCTATCACGAGGCAAGGCGCCGCGGGCGCGACCCGCGCAAAGTCCGATCGGACTACCGCGGAGGCGGCGCAGGCGCGCGCAAAGGGAGCGACGAGCCCCCGGCCGCGGATCAGCTTTGCCGCCCGAACGCCGCCGCGTATACCAGCCGCGTCGCAGCGCGCCCGCATGGCGGAGAAGTCTCCCGTCTGCCAGCCGTCGTGATCGAGGAGCTCCGGAAGGCGTGAGAAGACGCCCCGCCAGTGCTGCCAGCGCACGAGCGCCGGCGCGTCAAAGTTGGACCAATCGCACGAGAGGGCGGCGGCCAGGTACCGTGCCTTGTCGTCGCGGCTGTGGCAGGGCCCGCGGTGGTCGGCAGCGCACGGCCGGAAGTGCGCGGCGGGCTCGTCCAGCAAAAAGACGGGCGAGGCTGTGGTGGAGAAGATGAGCTGCTCGGTGATGGTGCTGCCGCCGCGCCACTGCGCGTTGAGCAGCACCCGGTCTGGCATTTTTTGTGGGACGAACCGTTCGACGAAGTTTTTCAAGTTTTTCAGGTCGCCAAAAACGCCGTTCACAGATCTCAATCTTGAGAAGAAATACCTGCGGCTCACGCTATGAGAGGTCGAGGTGCGAGCCCTGGAGGCCCTGGGGGGATGGGGGGAGACTACCCGCGGGCCTAGAAGGCCCACGCGCAGGGGGGCGGCGGATGTTGCGGACCGGGTGTCATGCGTGTGAGAAATCACATCTCTCTCTCTCCGTGTGACAGTTCACAGACTTGTTATGACTTATGAGAAGAAACACACAAACGCTGGGCCGGGCCGGGGGGAGAGAAAGGTGCGAACCGGTCCATGCGCATGCAGCCCCTTTGTGATGTGTGTGTGAGTGTGAGTGGGGTGTGGGGGTGACCACGGGGACTGCCGTTCACACACAGACCGCCGCCTAGACCGCCGCGCTCTCCCAGCCCTAGAGCGTAGCGCGCTCCGGGCGTCGAAGGCGAGACGCCCGAGACCGCGAGAGACGAGATCCCATGGACAAGACGTGCCCGGCGGGCTGGCGGGCAGGATGCCGGCCGGCCGTTCCGGGCGCATCCGGCGAGACTCGCCTCACCCCCGCCGCGCCGGCGAGCTGCGAGGGCACCATCCCAACGGCTGCCGTCCCCCGGCTGGCGGCGTGAGAGGCCTCGGGAGGGCTCACCGAGGGCCGGCGCACGCGATGCAGGCACTACCAAGGTCCTGGCGACCGCTCCGCGACCATCTCATCACATGAGACGACTGCTGTAGGCCGCTACAAAGGGCCAGAACTCGACGGGCCGCCACACCACAACACTAACTGCGCGCCGGCGCCCGATCTGGATTTTGGCCTCCCGACGCGATTTCCGACCCCCGACGCGAAGATATCGTCCCGAGTCTCACTACTCGCCCCTCCATCCTGTAGGTCCGGACCTTGCCTGCTCAGTAGCCGCGATGAATCGTCGCCCTCATCGTCCGCGCGGTCACCCTTTCAGCTTCGGACTGGCTTTTTGAGACCCTCGCGTTTGCCCATCTCGGCCGTTTACGACGCGTCACGCCTTCCCTCGTGCCGCAAGTAGGCGTGTGCGTCATGACTCCGGTGCCAGCTACACGGCCACGCCGCGGGACAACGTGCCGGGACGGATCCATCCGACCCACGGGTGCCCAAGCCGCCTCGCGCGCCTCAGCCCGCCGGGCCCCTCGGCGGCCAGTGTGGGGTGGATACGGCGGTGATAAACCCCTCTGACAGCAGCGCCTCACGGCGTGGGCTGCGAGGTCACTCGGGGTGACCCAGGGGGCGGCGGGGGAGCAATCTCCCGCCGGAGCAGCGGGTGATATTCCCGCTACTCGCTCGAGTTTGAGGCGCCTCGCCTGTGTTGCCTTCCCGGCCGCCCCAGCCGCCCTCACCGTTCCTCATCCCCTCCCCCACCCCCTCCCCCTCAGGCTAGGCCCTCGCCGCCGCCGCCGCCGCCGTCTCCGCCACAGCCGCCGCCGTTTCCTCCCCCCCCCACCCCCTCCGACGCCGTCGCCTCCGCTGCTCCCGCCACCACCGCCGGCCGCCTCAGCTCTCCCTCGCCCACCTCCCACACACCCCCACCGCCCTCCGCGCGTCCCCGCACGCCGCCTCCGCGCCCCCACGCCCCCACGAGGACCTCCCGCCCCGCCCTCCCCGCGTCTCAGACCCTTGGCCGTGCTCCGCTCGGGGAAACTCGGCGCCGCCGTCGCGAGCACTGCTGCTAGCGCAGCCGCCGGGCGACGCGACAGCGGCTAGCGGCCGTGAGAGCCTCTCCAGTGCGGGCTGGGGGCGGCGGCGGCGCACGGCGGGTGGCGGGCGAGCAGCCGGCCGGCCGGCGGCGCGTCTCGACTCGATTTATGGGCCGCCTCTCGGGCGTGCGGCCACGGCCCGTGCGGCGCGAGGAGAGGGCGGCGCGCTCGGCGCGCTGGCGGCGGTGAAGCCTCTCAGAGTGGGCGCTGGCTGGCCGAGGGCGTCGGGCGGGTGTGGGGCGGCACTCAGGCCGCCGGAACGGGCCGTGGTGGCCCGTGTGGCGTTCGTGAGGGACCGTTTGTGCGCCCCGGTAGCCACCCGGCCGGCGGCCACCGGGGCCGGAATTGGCAGCGGCTTGGGCTGTGTGTGGGCTGGTCGCGGTGGGGGATATGGTGCTTGTTTATGGTCCTCATTTCCCCCACTCACCACTCCCAACCGGCAGGGCCTCACGGGGCAATTTTGAAGGCCTCTGCCATCGCTCAGGTCCCAAACCATGTGCTCGTCCGCGCAGGGAGGGCTCGGTCGCGCCCCCCAGAGTGAGGTGTTCGGACTGAGCGACGCGGGCAGGACCCTTTGAAATCATAAACTGCGACGTCCGTGAGGCCCCTACGGCCGGTGGCAGTGAGTGGGTGATTGGAGGGCCATAACCTACCATCACGCCGCCCATCGGACCCCTCCTCCACCCCAAACACAGTCCAAACCGGGGCCCCGGCGGCGGCCGGCGCGGCGGCGGCGACGCACGCCGGCGAAGCACCATCAAGCTGCTGTACGGCCCCGGCATCGCCTCCCCTGGCTTAGCTCTCAGTCAAGATATTGTGAACACAGTCAGTCTCTACAATATACTCACTGACACTGAACCTCCCAGAGCTCGTCCCGGTCCATTACGGCCATCCTCGTCCTCAGGCGCCGGGCTCCGCCGGCCAGTCGCCCGCCAGATCCGGCTTCGTCGGGAGGGCGTCGTCGCGGAGCACCATCGCCGCTGTCGGCGCTCCTGCGGCGGTCCGGGGGCACGTCTGGGTGGCCAGGGGCGGGGGTCGAGCCGTGAGTGCTCCGCCGGGGCGAGCTTCTGGGTCCATGGCACCGCTGCCGGACCCGTCCGAGAGCCTTTCCGGACACGTTCGCTCGACGGCCTAGTTGGCGGCCGATGTTCGACGACCAAAGCTCCGGACGCCGCGGCCAAAGATCCGCGCACAGTCCCAGGGCTCGTGGTGAGTGTGGGGTGTGCCTCACGAGGCGGAGAGGCCGCGTGAACTCCCGTAGAAGCTCGCGAAGTGCGGATTTGGAGCGCCGCGCCGGACCTCCGCCGGGGCCCGCCGGGGCCACGGGAGAGGTCAGAAATCGTTTTTGGGGGTAGACTACTACAAAACGGTCACGGTCCCGTCCAGTTTAGTCCCTTGGCCGGCCCTGGGCCGCTCGGCACCGCGCGGGGGTGCCGTTAAGCGACCCTACCGCACTAATCCCGACCCCCGGTTTTTTCGCCAGCCTAGTGCGTTCGGTTGATTGAGGAAACCCCTCGAGTTAGCTGCTTAGTCGCGTGCGCGTATGCTCGCTGTCGTTGCAGTCTCTGGAGGCTGCGCCGCGGCTCCCGAGCGGCGCGTGACCCGTGCCAGTTTTGGTAAGGTTTTGCGCACCCTCTCAACTGACTCCCTGAGGCAGGGTGCGGATTTTCAGTTGGTCGATTTTGGCCAAAAAGCCCTCAATGTGAGACCCCCCCCCACAGCCCCCAGGGACGAGTGACGAGACCCGCACGCCCTCAAGTTCGCCACGCGGCCCCTCTAAGTGCTCGTCTAAGTACTAAAGACGCGCAGCAGAGCCAGAGGTGTCAGAAGTGAAATACAAGTGGCAAGTGCCACCCCCCCAGAGCGTCAGACAGAGCGAGAAAAATAAACAACACACAAAAATAACACCGCGGGCAATGAGCCATCTCACACCGCACCGCGCCCCCGCTTAGCCGCTCTCTGCTCAACATGGTCTCAAGCGACGAGGCCAACCGCGGGACGGCGAGAATTGCCGAATCACTCCTCCCGCAGCGCGAACCGCACCGCGGCCTCCGCGTGCAGAGTCGCCGTGTCGAACACGACGCCGGCGTACCGCTTGCGCGCCTCGGCGTCGAGAAGCATCGACAGCTCGGTGCAGCCGAGCACGACGGCGTCGCACCGCACGAGCAGCCGCTCGAGCCTCGCCTGCGGGGGGACGTGTCGAGGAGGTGTCGGGGTGACGCGGCCTCTACGAGGAGCTCGGCCCGCCGCTCGAGAGCCGCTCGCCACGAACCAGCTCGCCGCCTCCTCCCGCACGACGTCGACCGTCAGCTCGTCGTAGATCAGCCGGTCGAGCTCCGCGCGCGCGGCCGGCTCGTCGAGCACAACCTCGAGGCCGCGCCTGCACGAGGGCTCCGGCGAGCGTCAGCGAAGGATGCCGCCGTGGAGCGGCGACTAAGCCGCCCCTCGCGCCGGCGGAGCCGCTGTGCGAAGAAGGAATTCTCGTTGGCGGTGAAGGCGGTGCCGAGGAGGGCGACGCGCCGCTTGCCGGACAGCGCGGCGGCGGTCGCGTCTGCGATGTGGAGGACGGGCACTCGCGGGACGGCGCGGCGGAGCGCCTCGAAGGCAACCTGCTCGCGGCGAGGGCTGCGTGAGGAGGCGCTGCGTTCGCCACCTGCCGCGGAGCCGCAAGGTGTGTGTGTGTGGGGGGGGGGCCTCGTGGTGGACGCTGTTGCAGCACACGAGGAGCGCCTCGCACCCCGCCGCAGCCAGCGCGAGGCCGGCGCGAGCGAGCTGCTCGCCAACCTCCTCCCACCGCTGCGCAAACTCGAGCTCGATCACGGAGGCCTGGTCGAAGGAGAAGAGGACGGCCTCCGCCGCGTGCCTCCCGCCGAGCCTCTCCCTCACCCCGGCGTTGATCCGTCTGTAGTAGTCGATCGTCGAGGCCGGCGCGAGGCCGCCGATCAGGCCGATTCGACGAGGGAGTCCGCCCGCCCCGGAAGGGCGCCGGAGCGCGCAGGCGGCGAGGGCGGCAGCGGCGAGGGCGGCGAGGGCGGCGAGGGCGAGCTCTCTGGTGGTTGGCCGGGCGAAGAGCCAGGCGAGCGGGCCGTCGTCCGGCAGCGCGATGAAGATGCTCCACCGCCCGACTCCGTCGAGCGACTTTGTGCAGTGCCCCTCGCCGCGCGTGTCCTCGACCAGCAGCGTCTCTCCGGGCCCGAAGCGGCGAGTGTCGCCCGAGCCGACGCTCGCCTCGACGTGCCCGTTGAGGGAGGCGATGATCTGGCGGCGAGGAGCGTTGTGCCACTTGTAGTTGTAGCTGCCGTGCGTCCAGCGGAGCCAGACCCCGTCGCAGGGCAGACGCTCGGTCATCTTCCCAATGTCGCCGCCGCTCACGAAGGGAAAGGAGACGGTGCTCCAGCTCGACTCGACGCCGTCGTCCTTGAGGTGAACCATCTCCCACGCTGTCGGCGCGCCACCAGACTCTGACGAGGGCACTTTCTGCATGCTGCCCTTGCACTTGCCGGCGCCAAAGAGGCAAGACAGCGAGCACAGCGGGCGGCGAAGCGTGAAGCGGCATGGACCGGCATGGGCGGCGTGCAGGCAGAGGAAGAGGCAGAGGCAGATGGCGCGCTGGGGCGGCATGGAGTTACAGCCGACAGGCAAAACGTGTACTCCGGCTGTCGCGATGAGTTTGCGCAGAGGACAGGCGGCAGTCGCGATAATTTCCGGGCAAGCGGGCCCACTCTGGGCCCACTCCCAGGTATAAAAAGAATTCGCCGGGCCAACAAACTCTACATCATACCCTGGTGGCTAACCTCGGAATGTGACACCAGAATGGCTGTGCTGGCTCCTTCACAGCCATCAAACTCATGTGGCTGAGTCGACCGCGCCCAACTCAACGCCGCGAGCGCGATGTGCCTCTCGAATGCTGCAAACGTAAACTCTGCCGTCCCTTCGGCGAAGCCCTGCCCGTGACAGATGGCGTCCCGACCGCTCGGCCGGCCGCCGCCGCGCCTCCGGGGCGACGACGAGGGGCCCTCGCCGCCCCGGCGCCGCCAGCGGCCATCGGCCGACCCACCGCTGCGCAGCAGGCCGACGAGCCCATTGGCAATTTTGGCGCTGGCTGCCTCCGCCGGGGCTTCTACATCGGCAGCCCCACTGACCATCGAGCGCGACGAGGCTGGTCGCCCAATTCGGCCCGACCTGCGTGCCGTTCGCGACCCTGCTCAGAGGACGAGCCTCATGCGAACGTACCTCGTCGAGAGCGGGTACCCCCAGGCGGCCGACATGCCGGGCGACGTGACAGGAGGGCAGCTGCGCTACCTTTGGAAGCAAACATCCGGCGCAAACCCGTCTGCCGCCCCGACGACCCTTCAGTACGACGACTCCGGCGCTCCGATTCGGCCCAACATCCTTCGCATTCGCGACGCCGCCACGAGGACGAGCCTGGTGAGGCAGTACCTCATCGCGAGCGGCCATCCCGAGGCGGCCGACATGGCAGGCGACGCGAGTCGGGGGGCGCTGCACAACCTGTGGAGGCGGACCTCCGCCGCACGCCAGTCACGGCTTCGCCACCGCGACGAGGGGCGCCAGCGCAGCGCTGTGCGGCGCGAGCAGGATCGAGATCGACCGTCCGGATACCTCAAGGCGCGCAATAGCACGGCGCGGCCCGTCCGGGAGGGCGAAACTCCGGTTCCGGCTGCGGGCGCCAAGGCGATGCTCAGGTACGACCCCAAGGCGCACGAGGCCGCTGCGTACGTCGATCTTGGCAGCCTCACGCCCGATGACCCCGCCGACTGGCGTGTCTGCACGTACTGCAAAGCCTTGCTATGGCCGGACGAGGCGCTTCGCGTCCCGCCCGCCAATGCCCATCCCGGAGTGGTTCGACCCCACATAAATCCGAGACGGTGACGGGATGCTGTCGTACGATGGTCTCAGGCCCAGTGAGGTAGTGCATCTGACTATCCCGGATCCTGCTGACCAAGCTCCTCTTGTAGCTCGATCGGTCACACCGCCATCGCCGTCGGGGAGAGGGGGGACGACACTGCTTCGGCACCCTCCGGCAGGTAGCGAGGCTCCTGCGTTCTTACTGCAACAATCGTTCAACATACTACGAGCCCGGCATGCGGTCAGGCCCCCAGGCTCCATCCTCGATTTCCATCGTTGGGACTCGACTCATGGCGTCACAACCCACGGAGCAAAGCCTGCTCAGACCGGGCAAGGAGGATGACAAGACGCGCACATACTTCCGTACCCACACCGTTGCGCTGGGGATTGCTGCATTCTTCGGTCTGGGGATTGCTGCATTCCTCGTCGTGGGCGGCATCCTTACGTTTCTTCCACGCAACAGCACAAAGGTGATGTGGAGCGGCAAGAACGGGGATGCAATGCGGTCGGGCCACTCGTCCGCGTTTTCGGGACCAACGTCGTTGGCCAAGGCGGCGTGGACTTACCAATATCCAGGCCTACCCTACCTGGCCGACGACTACGAGTCGCCGCTCGTCGATGCGGACGGCAATGTCTTTGTGGGCGAGGCCGTGGGCACCGTCCTCAAGCTCTCGGCGAACGGCGCCGTGCTGTGGAGGAAAGACCTCGGTGCTGGCGGCTTGGCGACGCCCGCGCTCGACTACAGCGACGCCCACGGCAAGCTCCTCCTCTACATCACCCCGTTGGTGGGAGGCCGTATGCTTGCGCTCGACGCGTCCTCTGGAGCCGTCGTGCTCAACGTTACCTACGGGAGGGGCACCACCGGACAAGGCGACGGCTGGTCCGTCGGGGCGGCGGCAGGTGTGGTCGTGGTCAGCGGCTTGGCTGCCGATGCGCCCATGGTCCGAGGGATGGTTAGCACGCCCTCCGTCTTCGCACTCAACGCGTCGACGGGTGCCCCCGTCTGGGGCTTCTCCGCGTTCGAAGGCCCCGCCTCCCTGAGCAACGGCAGCTACGGGCCGTACAACTTCCTGCCGATCATCGTCGTCGACGACAAGCCGCGGCCGTCGCTGCTGTACGAGACGGCCGACGGCGCGGTGGTCAAGCACGACCTCTGGCGTGGCGACGTGCTCTGGCGCCTCGCGCCGCCCCTGGGCGGCGACAACCAGACGACGACCACCGCCGGCTGTGCGATGGCAAGCGAGCCCGTCGGTCGGCGGATGCTCGTGTGCGTGTCGAATGTGGGCTACAGCTCGCAAATCATGTCCGCTCTGAGTCTCGAGCTGAACGGGGTGATTCGCGCGATCGACGTGGCGAGCGGCCACGTGGTGTGGCAGACGTACACCGAGGTGCGCACACCACGCCACGAGGACTCCCCAACCGCCGAGGCCTGGCCAGACTGGAAGCCGCTGCGAGAGAGAGGGGGGGCGGGGGGGGAGAGGAGGAAGGGAGGGAGGGAGGGAGGGAGGGAGGGAGGGAGGGAGGGAGAGCCCTCTGCCCGTCCGGGAAACGCTGCGGAGAGCGCCTTTCCCCCACTGGCAGAGGGCTGGCAGAGGACTCCCCACGCGAGGATCAAACGGAGCATGGCTGCAGCCCCAGCCGACTGATGGCTGTGTTGCCCCCCCGTGCGCATGGCAGTTCTTCGGTGAGGCCGCTCCCGCCATCGCCCACGGCCGGGTCTACGTGGGTCTGCTCGGATTCTCGACGTCCAATGTGATGACGCCGGGCCACAAGGGCAATATGACCGCCCTCAACGCGAGCACGGGGGCGATTCTTTGGCAGACGCCCACGCACGAGAATCCGACCATGGGTGCGGCCAGCTGCGTTCCAGACACGTTCAACAACGCCGCAGTCGGCGCTGATGGCACCGTCTACTTTGGCTGGTGGGGTGGGTACGTGTATGCAGTCGACGGGAAGACTGGCACGATCCTGAGCTCCTTTCAGACCCAGAGCGGCATCCAAGGCGCGCCAGCCATCGGCGACGGCGTGGTCTACTTCTCGACTTGCGAGCACCTCTACGCCTTCAAAAAGGACACACCGCCATGAAAGAAAGACAGAAAATCACAGGCGACACACAGAACCACGAGACAAGACACTCAGCCAACGGGGTTGCCACGGAAAGTGGGTCAAAAATGACCCACGACACGTGTAGGCGCGTATCTTAGCTAAGGCTCGCGCCCTGACGTGTCAGTGCTCATGTAAACACCATCCCCGTCGTTGTCGCTCCGCTCGGCCTAAGGGGAAAGGTGGGAGGCAGGCGGCACGGTGAGAGGTGTGTCGCCGCCCTGCGCGCGGTGGTGGGGGGACGCACACACCATTCCGCTGTGGCTCAGCAGCACCAGCAGGGGACGAATGCGGCGAGCAAGCGCCGAACGAAAAGAATTCTTAAATGCGCCTCTCTCACAGCACACTGGCATCCCTCGTTTGGTTTGTCTGTCTTTCTTTCTTTCTTTAGCACACTGGCACGACAAGGGCGCGGACTGGCGCGGACTGGCACACACACCGGCTCACCAAGGAAAAGAACACAGAATTTTGGGTGATGAATGACAGAGGAGATTCGTGTTTGGGAGTGTATGGCTTCACTAGTCGTTGGAGATAGCCGAATGATCACGCGCGCGTGCAGGCGAACAGGGTAAGGGAGACACCTTTGCGATGCCGCGAATCCAGTCGATCTGCGCGCACGGCGGTAGAGCGAGGGTCGAGTCGATCGGCGTCCAGATGTCGTGCTGCAGGTACTGATACGGCGCCTCCGGGTCGCAGACGCTCTTGTGGTGCGCGTCGCGTACCAGTGGCGTGACGTTCTGAAGTCGGCGTAGCTGGCATTCGATGGACTTGTAGCTTCGCGCACCAACGCGGATCTCGTTGATCTTCGCGCCGCTCTGGTACGTGTGCAGCAGTAGGCGGTCCTCCTGGAGAGTCCATATGGAGTGAACTTTGAGTACCGGCACGTTTTTTCGCGCGTGCAGCTGCACGAGAGCATCCTCGACCCACGGCTGCAGGCTGATCTCGGTTCTGAGCTGCGTCTCCGCCTCGTCGCGCTCGTCGCAGGATCCACAGATCAGTCGGAGGTCCTCGAGGTCGTCGAGCTTCTTGAGAACATTTGTCCATCGCCACTTGATTGCATCGTTGCCTCGTTTGGTGGCGGATTCAAACGGCCACTGCTCTGCCACCTTTGGCAACGAGATGCCGTCTCGAACGTGGCGCAGCAGCACGAAGGCATCCATCTCCGGACGCCACGGGCTGGCGCTGTGCTTCGATCGGCCAGATGCGTGGACGGCCATCAGGGTTTTGGAAAAATGGTTTCCAGAAGACTTCAGTTGTAAAAAGAATTCGCCCGGCCACCGGTTGGTAGTCGAGAGAGATCGCCAGTGGAATAGGGCGTCCACCGTGCTGCGAACCTGTCGCTGTCCCTTTTGTCAGTAGCAGGAGAACTAGGAGAGCGCAACCAGTAGGAGGCCCGCGCCTGCCCCCGTGCCGCCGGGTGCAACTTTGTCCTATACGAGAGGGGAATCCCTGGGACCCTGTCGTGTGGGTGAACCCTGCCCAGCCCCCCTCCGTGTCGCGATGCGCTCCCCGCTCCCGTTCCCCTGTGTCCCTGATCGTCCTTACAAGATCCTGCTCGCGCAGGTGGGTGGGGACCCTGTCCTTCTCCCACCCCTTGTTTGGTGTGTCCGTTTTATTTATTTATTTATAGCGCAGCGGGCGCGAAGGTCGCTCTGCGAGAATGGGTGAGAAACTGCGAAGAGAGATAGGAAGTGGTAGACGCCCGAGGGTGGGCGACGGCTAGCACCACACTCCTCTCCTTAAAATCCCTGTGTGGTGGCGGCGTGCCGTCCAGCGTCCTCCCATCCCTCCCTTGGGTTGTCTGTTTTCTTTCCTTTCCTTTAGCGCAGCGGGCAGGGCGGCTCGCGAAGCGCGCGCGATCGCGCAAGCGGCGCGCGCGAGCGAGCGAGCGAGCGAGCGAGCGAGCACACACACACACACACACACACACACACACACACACACACACACGCACGCACACACGCACGCACGCACGCACGCACGCACGCACGCACGCACGCACGCACGCACACGTCCCAACTCCCCAGAAATCCCGAGCGGAGGAGCCGTGCAGTGCCTAGATAAGTCTGTGTGCTGTGTGGTGCTTGGGACGTCCCAAAGATCATCACAACTAGGATCACAAGACACAGCCCACGGCGTGGCCCACGGGACAACAACTCAGGGCTATAGACGCCGCCGAACACATCTCACTTCTCACAACAACAACATGTACATGTGCGCTCTGGGGGGCTCGATGCGTCCATCGTGGCGTTTCCGAGGGTTTGCAGCTCCTCGAGGATCTCGGGCTTGATCGCCAAGCACTTGCCACCGTCCAGCGAGACAAGGGGTCCAAAGGGTCAAGGCGCGCTTGGTGGTGGAATTGTAGGTGCTCACCGTGCCGAGCCAGCCCCGTTGAGCTCCGCACGCTGAAGGCCAACGAGCCGCAAGGGCCTGCCCACCAGCTCATGCCAGATCTCCACGTCCGTCGTCTCGTCACCGCGGAGCAGTGCGGCGGTCACCTGGAAGTTTCTAGTTTCTTTCCGCCTTTCCGGGTCAGGTTTGTGCGTAAGCAACTCTGGGGGGAGGCGGGGGCCCTAGGGGGTACCCATGCGGGGGGGGGGGGTGATGGGGTCCCCCAGCCCGCCGCAGGCGCCGATTTTTTGGATTTTTCTTTTTCGCGCAATTGGTCACTTGTTTTCATGGGAATTCGCCGTACTTGCGGGTTGCGGCCATGCTATCACGCCTTGCGACAGCCTGTCGGCGCTGCTGACCGTGCCCTGCTGCACAATTGACCACCTGCATAGCTCGCGGCCTTAGTATCAAGCATTCAGTGACGACCTGATCGTGCGGCCAGTAGGAAGGTGTCCTTCCAGCGCGTGCACGCTTCTGACGCAATGCGCGTCACAAACTGCCTCGGATTGGCTGCTGGCACTCTCGAGGCTATGCCTACACAGCCTCGCGCGCATGGGCAGTCAAGAGGGACCACGCACCTTCTCAGGACAGCGCCGGTGCCTCTCTCTTGGACCGGCAAACTTGGTGGTCTCGTGTCACCAATGTGGGACCAGTGCGGCATCGCCATCGCGCCATCGACAGCTCTGAACTGCGCCTCACCACTGACCGGGAAGGCCGCCAAGTGGGCCAGCACCGGTCGCACATTGTGGCAGCAGTCAGTAGTGCATGTCTGATAGCTAGAGCAGCATCACGGTCGCAGGGTCGGATCGTGTCAAGCCTCTCGCCCGGCCGGCCGCGTGCAGACGTCGGCCTGTCTGCTGTCTGGAGTGATCTGTCGGCGGTCAGCACGACCGATCAGGTCGGAGTTTTCTGATGGTTGGAGGGTCTATCTGTATGTACTCCTCGAGATCTCTCCAAATCTGCCTTCTAATCAACCGTAATCATTCGGGAAGTCGGTGCTAGTGGAGACTAGTGGAGCCGGGGCCGCCCGTTTCCGCACTGCTGCGCGGCGCACGGTGCCTCCGGGGGCCCCCGCCTCCCCCCAGAGGTAAGCAAGTCATCCCGTGGAGCAAGAGCGGTGTAGGCGCGTCCACGCTGCGCAGCGGCGCCCCCCCCCCCGCGACCACAGCCCCTCTCGCAGCCGCACAGCCGTAGCCGCACCGCGGCCCTCGCAACTCTCAACGCTCAAGGGGCCCGCAAGCGCAACTCTCGCCGCTCCGCGCTCCGACCTCCGTTTTCGCTGCGTGGCGGGTTCTAGGGCGGGTTGTGACGACAAGATCGTCTAGGGCGGGGACACATGTCACATGCACATGTCCATGTCCATGTCCATGTCCATGTCCCTCTATACGTCAGTAAATCCATCTAGTCTCTGACTCAGAGTTTGGCCCTTTCATTTATTTATTTGAGTCATCCCGTATCTCTTTGGCTGTCAGACTGGAACCGCGCTGGCGTCGTCGTAGCTGCGACGTCCAGAACGCCAAGTGTTACCCTCACGTGGCGACCTCGTCCTCCCACGCGGCGCACCGCTCGAGCTGCCGGAGGAGGCTGTGCGCGACTGCCTCTGTGATGCCGCTGCGCGCGTCGACGAGCACCCCTGTGTAGCCGGCACGGCTAACGGCCAGCACGTTCTCGGGTCGGTCGTCCACCAGAATTGCGCAGGCTCGCCGGCGGACGCCGCTCGCTCCCGCGATGGCGTCCATGTTGGACACCTTGCAGAGCGGCACCTGCGCAAGCTGGCTCGCAGAGCTGCCGAAGAGCAGGTCCCGTAGCGCCCACGCGCAGCAATGGTGGTGCTCCCGCGCCGCGAGGCGCGACGTCATCTCGAAGGGAGAGTCGCAGTACTGCGTCGGCCGAGCGGTGTTGATGGCGACGTGGGCGCCGAGCGCTCTCGCCGCATCGACCAGGTTTAGCACCACGGTCTGGTCTGCGGGCGTGATGGTGCCGTCGATGTCCAGCGCGAGCGCGCTGGAGGCGGGCGGGAGCGGGAAGGCCATGCGAGAGTGCACGCGTACAAGCGGATGACCGTCGAATCACCCTCGGCCGGTCATCGCGCGAATTGTTTTTTCTTTTTTAAAGAGAAGAAAAGAAAGGGGGAGGGGGGGGGTAATTGTTATGGTAGGGTGGGCATAAAGAAAGGCGATGGAGGTGTTATGAGGTGTTATGAGGTGGAAGGGGTGTTCTGAGCAGCCAGCCAGAACAGCCATGACACCTGTTATGGCCGCTTGGCGTCAACCCGGTTGGCACGAAAAAGATTTTTCTCGCCGTCCAGCCGCTTGCGACAAGCTGTCGCTTGCTCCTCATGCTGCCACCGGGCAGCCCCTCCCGGAGCCTCGCCCAGGCGGCCGAGAGGATCGGCGCGGCGCTGATAGGCACCCCTCTAAACCTCCCCGGCGTCGGCTCGTCCACGGCGGCGGCAGCGGCTCAGGCGCCGACGGCAGAGCGACAGCCTGCCGGCGGCCCATCCACGAGTACGGAGGAGCCTGCGACCTCGCCGCGCATCACCGCCGAGGCGCTTGTGGAGAGTCTGGCGGCCGCCGCCGAGGAGGCAGTGCCGCAGACGGGCGACCTCGCAGCGCCCGGTGTGGCGGTCGCTGCGGCCGGCGTCCGCTGGCTGCAGGACACGGTCCCCTTCTGCGGGCTGCTCCTCGTCGTCTTTCTCCAGCAGCACCTGCTGCCCATCCTCGCCTTCAGCTGGTGCACCTTTGTGCTCCACCACGCCAACGCGCGCGTCCGGCTGTGGCTGCCGCTGCTGCAGGCGCCGCCCGGAGGCGCCGGGGTGCTGCTCGTGGCGGCCGAGATCGTGACGCAGCTCCTCGCGCTGCTGCTGCTCTGCGGGCGGGACCTCGTCTCGCAGCTCCTCCTCCGCCTCCCGGACTGGGCCCTGAACGGCGCGACCCTCTTCGGAGTGCTGCTCGCCGTCCTCTCCGCCGACGTCGTGGTCCGCTTCGTCGGCACTAACCCTCAAGCTCGGCACTAACCCTAACCCTAACCCTAACCCACACCCTAGGTCCGCTTCGTCGGCATGCTCCTCAAGCTCGGCAGCACCGCACCTACAGCGGGCGCCACGCCCACGACACGTCCACGACACGTCCAGCCGCGTGTCCCACAGGCGCGCTGCTCGCGCTGCGCGGCGCCGCCGGCGTGCGCGCGCCCTGCTCGCTGCGTCGCGCCTTCGCCGTGCTCGAGCTCAGCGGCCTGCTCTACCGCTCGCTGCTGCCCATCCCTCTCTGGCACGCGTGGCTGGTGCACGCCGTGCGGGGCCGCCTCCTCGCGTCCCTGCTGGCCGGCCTCTACTTGACGCTCAAGCTGACCCAGCTCGTCGAGCGCACGCGCGCCGCCCTCCTCGCCACGCGCTCCCTGCTCACGCAGCAAGTGCTCGTCGGAAAGCACGCCTCCGCCGAGGAGGTGCTCGAGGCGGGCGAGGACACGTGCTCCATTTGCCAGGCGAGGCCAGCCCGGACCGAGAGCAGCCGAGATGGAGCGAGATCAGCCCGGGTCGCACGAGGACGCGTGTGTTGCCCCTCTGCCAGGAGCCGATGACTGCGCCGGTCGTGCTCGAGGGCTGCTCGCACATCTTTTGCGAGGAGTGCATCGTCGCCTGGTGCGAGCGGGCAGGCTCCGACGGAGCAACCTGCCCCCTCTGCCGCCAGCCTGTCCAGCTCGCGACCGGAGTGCACGCATGCTACGGCGACGGCACAACCAGCTTGCTGCCGCAGGTCTTTTAGCCTAGTCTCGCAGCTAGTCTCGCAGCGCCTCGTGTCGCGCTCCATAAGGCTTGCCGGCGCACACGTACGACGTCGTGACGTCGGGGTACTGGAGTTGCCATGGATGTGAGAAGTGTAGCGTGTGTGTCGGAAGACATGCTCTGTGCTCAGAGATGTGTGCGTACCGTGTGTGTCTGTGAGAGTCAAGTATGTGTGTGCGGTCCCCGTTGCGCGCGTGCGGCGTGCACAGCTATAACGTATAAGGATACGGCCTTGTAGGTATCAGGTATTACCACTGACAGTGCGGACTGACATTTAACCAGAGCTTCCCCGCTGTGTCCCGTGACTCTAGCCCCTACGCCCTAGCCGACTCAGACGTCTGTCAGACGTTCCTCCAGAGCTCTCACCACTCACGTCTCAGGGCCCACGCGTGACTCGCAGGACACACCACACACGTGTGCGGCGGCTGATCGCCGCTGATACTCACACGCGCTTTAAAAATTTCGATGGGCGCGTTACCCGCCGCGCGTGTGGAGCAATATTCCTCTCGCCATATACACACACTGGTCACTGCAATTTTTAACATAAACGATGACCATTTAAGAGGGTAACCCCGCGCGGCGGCGGCCCGGCCGGCGGCGACGGCCGCGGCCGCGCCGGCGGCGACGGCCGCGGCCGCGCCGGCGGCGGGCGCTGGCGGGCGCGCGCCGCCACACAGCGGTGCGCACAGAAGGTGGGGACGTGGGGTGTCTCATCTCAAATGTGGTGGCAGGTGGCTGGTGGGCCCCGCCGCGCGCGGCGCCGCAGCGCGGCTTATATTTGTACAGAGTAAACACTCTAATGCAACTGTCTCAATGCCTCAACTCTGCGTGGCGAGCTGACCAGTGGGCGACGACCCTCGCTTTGAGCAACGGAGCGCGACGGCAGCAACGAGCCTTCGCAGCGGCGGCGGGAGTGCGAGCACCACGGCGCTCAGCTTGGCCGCCGCCCACTGCCCCAGCAGCCGCACGATGCTCCGGAGGCGGGGAGGTGCGCCGAACGGCGACCTCGCCGCGGACTGGCGAGCGAGGAGCCGGCGCGCGATCGGCGCCCACTCCGAGGCCAGCGACCAGCGGACGCCGAGGCGGGAGGCGATGCCCTTGATGAGGACCTGGCGAGGAGCGGCGCCGCGTCAAGGAGAGAAGTGCTGCGAGCTTGGGTTTGGGAGTCGGCGCCGTGGAGCGGCCGACCAGCGTCAGCTCCTGCGGGAAGGACTGGAGCACCTTCCGTTGCGACGAGGGGAGGGGCGTGAGGGAGCCTCGCGCCAGAGAGGTGAGGCGAGATACAGCCGAGATACAGCCGAGATTGCCGAGATACAGCGGGCGCGCCTTGACCGGCGAGTTCGGCGAGAGCTCGTTGGTGTCGAAGCCTCCGGGCAGCGTGTCGACCGAGCCGTCAAAGAGCCAGATCGCCGTCGCCGCTGGCCCCTCGCGTGGAGAGCCTGGGTTCGGGTACTGTGGGGGTAGGGGGTGGGTAGGCACAGTGGGGGGTACGGGCCCCTCGCGCGGCGAGCCGTCGCGGAGCCGCACGCCGAGCTCGAGAGCGAGGCGCGAGATCTCGTCGAGCTGCGCCTCGTCCTGGACACGTCCATGACATGTCCGGGACATGACCTTAGGCGAGAGATCTCGTCGAGCTGCGCCTCGTCCTCCCCCTCGCCGCCTCCCGCGCCGCGCGCCGCGAGGGCAACCATCACCTTGGCCAGCGTCGTCGACGCGCGCGCCCCGATCTGCTTGACCTGGCCGAAGTCGATGAGCCCGACGCGGCCGTCGTCGAGCACGAAGATGTTGCCCGGGTGCGGGTCCGCGTGGAAGAAGCCGCCCTCGAGGATGGTGAGGCCGAACGCCTGATACAAATATGTGGCGGCTGGTGTGGCTGGTGTGTGGCACTGGTTGTGGCGCGCGCAGCAAGTGTGCGTGGCGAGAGGGGGCGGGGAGGGGGCGGGGGGGGGGGGCGCGCCTCGGTCAGGGCGCTCAGCAGCTTTCGGCCGAAGAGCTGCGCCTCCGGCGAGTCCGGGTCGATGCCGCGCGCCTCCATCGCCTCGACGGCGCGCGAGAGCGGCTCGCCTAAGGTCATGTCCCGGACATGTCATGGACGTGTCCTGGACATGCCTCGACGGCGCGCGAGAGCGGCTCGCCGCGCAAGTAGTCCATCACGAGCACGCGCTTCGTCACCTGATATACATATATATCTGGGCCGAGGAGGGCCGAGGAGGGCGGCTCGCCGCTCCGCAGCGAGTCCGCCGCGCCACACGCGCCTCTCACCAGCGGCTACATCTCGGCTATGTCTCGGCTATATCTCGGCTATTTCTCGGCTACATCTCACCAGCCCTCCGACGGGGCGCGGCGTGACCACGGGAGGAGGCCGAGGCGAGCCCGTGGCTGGGTCGGTGCTGAGGGCGGCGCCGATCCGCTCCATCGCCGCCGCCTCCTTGATGAAGTCGAACTCGTCGGAGAGCTGCACCTGAGGGGAGAAGGCGCAGGGAGGCTGCGTCCCGGCTGCGTCTCGGCTGCGTCTCGGCTGCGTCTCGGCTGCGTCTCGGCTGCGTCCCGCACCTCGAGCTCCGAGAAGACGGTGTAGTAGTCGACCGGTATCGCGTCAAAGCCTCGCACCGCCTTTGCCAGCGCCTGACCACAGCGAGGCGTGTGAAGAGACGCCGTCCGCCGCCCCCCCCTCCCCACTCCCCCCTGTTCACGGCTGGAGGGTGTGAAGAGTCCGCACCCTCCCCGCGCCCTCGGCGCTCGCGCCTTGAGCGCAGCCACGTCCCCGAGCAGCTTCCTATCTCGGCTATCTCTCGGCTATCTCTCGGCTATCTCTCGGCTATCTCTCGGCTATCTCTCGGCTATCTCTCGGCTACCTCTCGGCTATCTCTCGGCTATCTCTCGCGCCTTGAGCGCAGCCACGTCCCCGAGCAGCTTCGCCTCGATGGCCGGCCGCTGCACCTTGACCGCCACCTGCGCGCAGCAGCAGCAGCGGTGAGTCGACGCACCTCGCGCGCTCCGCCGCCGCTCGCTCGCTCGACACCTCGCGGCCGCCGTACTCGGGCGAGAGGAGCGCGCGGTGCACCTGCGCCACCGACGCGGCGCCGAGCGGCTGGTCGTCGAACTGAGCAAAGACGTCGTCGAATGCCTCCCCGTCGTGCAGCAGCTCCTGCAGGGGGGATCGCCCGAGATCACCCGAGGGTACGGGTGGTGGTACTCTCTCCCCGCCGTGCAGCTCCTGCTCCACCACCGCCCGCACGAGCGAGTACGGCATCGGGTCGACCAGGTCAGTCAGGCCCGCCAGCCGGTCCGTGTACTCGCGCGGGAAGAGGTCCTGTCGGGGGTGGGTCGGGGGTGGGTCGGGTCGAGGGTCGGGGTTAGGTCGGGGTCAGGGTTGGGGCCAGGAAAGAGTTGCTGTGCGGAGGAGCCCTGGCGGGGCCGTGTGGTTGTCTCGCAAGCCGCTCCCAAGCGCCTCGCAAGCCTCATTGCCTCGGAAGTGTCTCGGAAGTGTCTCGGAAGTGTCGAGAGAGGCGCGCCTGCCGCGTCGCGATGATCTGGCCCGTCTTTGTGTAGAAGCCCTTGAGTTCGTTGACGACCGAAGCGAAGCTGATCGAGCCGGCTTCGTGCTGCTCGGTCCACAGCACCTCGCACGCCTCCTCGTCCAGGCACTGCCCGAGCGCCCGCTCCCGAAAGCGCAGTGCGGTGTACAGGCGGATGTACGAGAATGCGATCGGCAGTGCCCTCGAGGCGAAGACGGCACCCCGCTGCAGCTGCACGAGCGGAGAGGCCTCCGGAGGGAACTCCACCTCTGCTGCCGTCGAAGGCCCGCCCTCCGCCGGCGAGCGCACGGCGTCCATGCTGATGCTGGCCGAGCGCCGAGAGTCGGCGCCGCCGCACGCTGCCCGAAACTTGGTCGGGTGCAGCGTGGTGGCAGCCACGAGCACCAGCGAGATGAGCGCCATTCGCTCTTTGTTGCGCGAATCGCAACGGCGATACAGAGCCAACAGGGACCTGACTGGTGCGTGCGGGGGAGGAGTCGGGAAAGAGAGAAAGCGCACCACCTCCGGGCCGTTCTTTCTTTCTTCTCTCACATGACCAGCGATCCCACGACAGCGATTGTGGGGACTACATGATCCGTACGTGAGGGGTGGAGGGCCGTCCGCGGAGCTAGGCGGTACGGGCGCCCACCACCGGGGCCGAGGGTGGCAGCCCGCTGGCTGTGTGTCTTGTGAGCTTGTCTGTGTCTGTGTGTCGCTCGTGCGTGTCGTCATCATCTGTCTAGCGTCCACCCATACCGCGTCGGTGTCCAGTCCGAGCCTGACTACGAGGGTAAGAGGACGTCTGCCGCTTGCTTGTTCTTGACGTCGTTGACCCAGTTGGCACGCTCAGGGGAGTTGAGCCAGTTGATACGCCATACGCGTATTGCGCGCCTGTGCTTGTTGTATGTTGATGTTCTCGGCGAAAGAGAAAAACGATTCACCCACGGTGTGAGGTTAGGTTAGGTTAGGTAGAAAGGTGAAGAACAGCCAGGAGGCTCGGACTGGACACCAACGCGGTATGGGTGGACGCTAGACAGATGATGTGAGTGATTCTGAGATCAGGTTGGGCGACTGGCAGACATTTCAAAAATTTGGCGCCGCAGGCGCCCGCTGCGTGCCCACCATGGTTGGGCGCGCAGCGAAGAAATTTTTGCGCTCTCGACAGCCTTTTCTAATAGGAAAATGGCCTCTACTCGGCGCCATACCGCTTGTCGGCGCACAGCGGAGTTCGCAAGCCGGACCTGCTGCCTTCCCTTCTACGTACACTTTCAGAATGGAGGCTCAAACGCAGCGCAGGGCTCAGACCAAGTGCAAGTCGATTTGTACCACAAAGTTGGTAGACAGTGCCAAAACCGCGGAACCGAAAATGGCGTTTAATTTCGCGCACCTGCTGTCCGCCGCCTGTGGCGGCGCTCCGCACCGCTTGAGGCGCCTGCGGCGCCCCTGGCGGCGCGCTGTCCGCGCGCCCCTCTGTGGTTTTCGTGGGGGGCTCGGCTCTCGTAAGTCTCGATTTGTACAGGATTTCGACGTTAGTGGCAAAACTGCGGAACCGAAAATGGCGTTTAATTTTGCGCACCTGCTGTCCGCCGCCTGCGGCGGCGCTCCGCGCCGCTTGGGGCGCCTGCGGCGACCCCCTGGCAGTGGCAGCACAGTGTGTACGGCTGCGGGTGCGCCCGGTACACAAAACCGGCGCTCTATGGCGTGCTCCGGGGGAGCACGACTACGCAGTCGTGGCTTCCACACGCGAGAGAGTGGCTTCTATATTTACGAAAACATTGGGCGTCCCTAGTGCCGCATCCATAAGAAGTGACGTCACGGTTCCAGGAGCGCCTGGCGGCACAGCTTAGAGTGGCAGCCGAGCGCCGGCCACGACTATCGAGTCGCCGTCGCGGAGCTGAGGGCTGGCCGACGGGTGGCGCGGTCTTCCTCCCAGCGCCGCCCATCGGTCAGCCCTCAGATCGATCGATCGGCGCTCAAAGTCGCTTCAGATCCGAGAAAGCTGCTGGCGCCGCTGCCGATCCCAGCCGCGACGCCAGCAGCTTCCTCTGCTCTCCAATGCGCCGAGAAGCGACGCGGCGGTGCTCGGCTCGCCATGCACGATGACGGCTCCGCTGGGTGCTCGTCGGCCGGTCCGGTGGCACCCTATTCGCGCGTCACCTGCCGGCGTCCCGACGACAGCCTCGCGCCGCCGCTGATGGAGGGGCGGTCGGCGCCACTGCCGCCGCGCCGCCGGTGGGAGAGGCACTGGTGGTGGCCTGGGCGGCCCTCCGCCGCCGCTCGGCGCGCCCGGGCAGCGGTGGCAGCCTGCGCCGCCCCCGCTTCGAGCGGGCGCCCCCGCTTCGAGCGGGCGCCCCCCCGCTTCCAGCGGGCGCCCGGGACGGGTTCCCCGCTTCGAGCGGGGAGATGCGGCCTGGGATTCGCTTTCTGAAATGTCTGCCTCCAAAGGGGAAACGACTAACCTGATCTCAGAATCACTCATGTCGACACGCACGAGCGACACACAGACAGGTTAGACATCGATAGACAGACACGGTGCCGCACCTATCAACACTACCGCACACGACCGCACACACGAGACGACACAGCTGCCGCTGCAGCACACATGGACGCAGGTTCGAATCACGGAGCCCAGCGCTCACCTCACGACTCGCTTCCCCGCGACGGGTCCTGCGCCTGGCAGTCTGGCCGCAGCCCTGCTCGAGCGCCCGCCAGCTCCGCCACGGCCTCCGCCCCGATGCAGTTGCCGCTCGCGCCGAGCTTGGCCAGGTGTGGAGCGCCTGGGGCACTCTCCGCTCTCGGGCGTGGGAAGGGACGCGGCGGGCTGCGCAGCTAGTGGGGCGACGGCGTGCGCGCGCGCCTCCTGCCGCAAGCGCTCGTGCGAGTGCGCGAGCGCCCCTCGACCCGATGCGATTGTTGTGTAGCCCGAGCTCGCGCAGGGCGTGCCCCGCCCCGACCACCGGAGGGCCTACGGGACGTGTCACGGACATGTCGGTGGACATGTCGTGGACGTGCCCCGCCCACCGCCACAGCGGGGCCAGAGGCGTCCGGCGCGAGCTCGATGAGGTCTCGCTCTGCGCAAAGGGGAGAGAGGGGCCGCGGTCAGTCAGAGGTAGCCCTCTCCCCCCTCGCCTCCCCGCCCGCGGCGCGCCAGTCTGAGCGAGCGCGGAGGCGAGCGCGCACATGCCGGCGTCGCCGATCGCGTTCCCGCCTGTGGGACGCGTCGCGGACATGTCAGAGAGCGTGTGTCATGGGCGTGCCGTCGTCCGCCGATCGCGACCCCGCGCCCAGCGCGTCGCCAAAGCCGAGGACGCGGAGCGCTGGCAAGGCAGCCAGGCTGGCCGCGAGCCTGGGATCGCATGTGTGGGGCGAGTGAGAACCGTCCGCACCCTTCCTCCTCGCACAAGGGAAGTGCTGTGCGGCGGGTGGTGCGGCACCTCTCGCACCCGGCGCAGCCTATCGTGTTCCCCTCGAGCCGAAGGATAGTGAGGCTGCCGCCGCCGCCCGCGACGAACGCGTCGGCCAAGTGCGCCGCGCCTAATCAAGTCATGGATCGGTCTCAGCAGCCCATCGCATCACAAACCAACCGGCCAGGTGCGCCGCGCCCGCGTCGCCGACTCTCGCGAAGCGCAGCGAGAGCGACAGCAGCGAAGGGAGCACAGAGCAGGGCAGCCCCCCGAGCGGCGGCGGCGGCGGCGGGTGCCGGCTCGACATGCGGACAAAGGAGGAGGGCGGGTCGAGGGTGCCGCTTTGGTCGGAGGCCGCCGCCGGGCTGGCGGGGCAAGACGCGACGAGCACGTCGGACGAGTCGCTGAGCTCCGCCCCGCCCTCGCCCGCCCCGCTGCGGCGGACCAGCGCGTCGGCCGGCGGCTCCTCCGCCGGCTGCTCCGCCGGCTGCTCCGCCCTCCGCCCGTCTGGCGGCGGGCCGGCGGCTCGCAGGAGGAGGGAGAGGGCGCCGGCGCCGCCGTCCCCGAGCCGGTTCTCCGACAGGGAGAGCTCGCGCAGGAGGGGAGCGCCGCCGGCGGCCGCCGCCGCCTCGGCGATGCAGCGGGCGCCGTCGGGGCCGATGCTGTTGCTGGAGAGGTCGAGCGCCGTCAGCCGCGACAGCGCGCCGCTCTCGCGCAGCGCCGCGCCCAGCGCCGCGCAGTCCTCCGAAGTGACCCCGCGGAGCGTGCAGCGGAGCGCCGAGGCCGACTCGAGCCGCTTGCGCGAGAAGTCGATCTTTGCGAGCAGCGAGCTCACCTCCTCCTCCGAGGCGGCGGCGGGCTCACCGAGCGGCGAAATGGCCTCCTCTTCCTCCTCCTCCTCCGGCGAGCTGTCCGCAGACTGCTCGGCGGGGTTGCCTCCGCCGCTCGTCGGGGCCGAGTCCTCCGCCTCGGCCGGCGAAGGAGCGGTCTCCTCGGCCGCCTCGCTCGCCTCGGAAGGCGCGCTGGGCGTGCCGTCCTCCTCCTCCAGCAGCGAAAAGCTGGGCCCGCGCCCGAAGCAGGACAGCCCGCCGGTCGGGGAGCGAGGGAAGAGCATGCAGTTATGGGCGTTAGCTCGGGACGTGGTGAAGCCTCGTCCGCGTCTTGGGATAGCAGTCGGCGCCGAGAGTGCGCGGCCGAGATTAGGTGCCCGGTAGGCTTGGCTGCAAAGGGGATTTTCGCGTTTTGTTTTTTTATTCAGGGTTTTGCAACTTATTCCGTTTGCAACAAACGGAATCAAGAAAAGAAAACGGATCGCCAAAGCAGGCGGCGTCTCGTGCTCGACCAGGATCGCCGTCCCGGCGCGAGAATGCAGCCGGGCTTGCCGTCGTGCAGCCCTTTTTGCTTCGGCTCGTCGTCAGCGACGCGCCAGTCCTGGCGCAGCCGCCCCGCCGTGCGGTCCACGGCCTTGCAGCCCGTCGACGCGCCCGACGACGTGACCGCGGCCGAGATGGAGGCCTTCATGGACCACATCCAGCCGAGCTTGTACCAGCCGCCCGACGACAGCGACATCGCCCATGAGTTCACGGCGTGGCTGGCGGCGCGCCGCGAGACGTTGCGGACCGCCGCCGGTGCAGGCCGCCCTCGCGACTCGCAGGCCGACGTCGCCGCACCCGACGCCGCCGGCGGCGAGGAGTCGCCCGACAACGAGACGGGGCGCGCGACTCCGCCCGCACCTGCGCCGGCGGCGGCGTCCGGCCGCCGACGCCGGCGCAAGCCGCTCGCCGGCGGCGGCGGCGAGAAGGAGAACGCGGACGTCGAGATGGACGCGCTCATGGTCGAGCGGCCCCGGCCTGCGCAGACGGAGCAGCGCTGGCGCGCCGTCCTTGCCGCGCGCCACGAGGATTACGACCGGGAGCTCGAGAAGGACAACCCGGAGCGGCCGTGGCACAGGGTGCCACACTTCCAGGGCGACGTCGAGGCGGAGTGCAAGCTGTGGGCAAGGGTCGTGCGCGCGCTCGGCGAGGCCTACGCGCGTCACCACTGGGGCATCGAGACCATCGAGTTTGACCCCAAGCGACCCGGGCAAGCCAAAACCGCGCGCGCCACGCGCCACAAGAGGCTGCGGGAGGCGGCGAAGCGGGCGGAGAGCAAGGCTGCGGCTGCCGCCGCCGCCACCGCGACGCCGTCGCCCGCCGCCGCCGCCGCGGCGGCGGCGGAGGCCTCGGAGGGCGCGGCGGCGGAGGAGGAGCTGATCGCGGTACGGCGAGCCCAGGCAGAAAAGACTGCTGCACGGCTGTTCGAGCAGCTGGAGGACGGCGAGGAGGAGGGGGAGGGGGAGGCGGCTCGCGAGGCGTCAGCGCGCACGCTATCCATCGCCACTGATGCCTTGCTGGGCGTTCTCGACGCGGCCGACGGAGGCACCGTCGAGACGAAGGACGCGTACCAAACGGCGGACAAGCCGCTAGGCGAGGGGGAGGAGACGGAGGCGGTTGAGAAGGAGAACATCGCCCGCGCCTTCAACAGGAGCATCGTCCGCGAGGTGCGGCGGCTCCTGCAGACGTACGGCGGCGATCACAGGCCGCCGAGCATGGGCGCTGAAATGCACTACGAGCTCGCTGCGATGGAGGGCCCGTACGCTGACCCGAATGCCTTCTCGTGCGACCCGGACTCGCTGTCCACGCAACAGCTCGACGCGCGTTTGCTACTGTGGTACCGGCAGTGCCTCCCCAAGCCGCCGCAATGGCGCGCCGACCCAAAGCTCAAGCAGCAGCCCTGGCGCGGCCCCGATGGGCAGGAGCTGCTGCTGCCGCAGTGCTGGCCGTCGCATTGGCTGACGCGCGCGCGGCTGCTCGGCGCGCGGCGCGGCGTCGCGCTGACGCTGCGCGAGGCGGACGCAGAGGCGCACGGCGAGGCGCCGCACGCGCCGCAGCTCGTCGCGGACGCAAAGTTCGCGTTCGAGGTGGCGCTGCGCGAGCAGCAGCCCGCAGGCGCTCTCTATGAGAGCTACCGCCGCCTAGCGGCGGCTCTCGCGCACTCGCGGCGCACTCGCGCGGGGCTCGCGCTCCGCCACCTGGCCCTTTGCCCGGCGTGCAGCGACGCCCTCTGCTTCCCGGCGCAGCACCTCCCGGCCGTGACGCGCTACACGCTGCCGCCCGTGGTGCAGCGCGCCGGCTGCAGCGATTGCGACTACTTGGCGATGCGGCGCATGCTCGCCGCCCGCACGTCGTCGTACAACGAGTGCACCGCGAAGGACGCGGCGGAGTGGCTGCGCGGGCTCGAGCAGGCTGACGCCGTCAAGCACGCGTGGGGCGTCGTCGTCGTCGACGCCATCAACCGCCCGCCCCACGCGGCGACGCGGCTCGCCATCATGGAGGGCACGTTCGACCACGACTCCTTTGCCGCGTTCCTGCGGGCGACGCCCGGCGTGGCCGTGCCCTACTGTGGGGCGCATGGGCCGCCGCGGTCCGCGGCGGACGATGCGCCGATGCCGGGCGCGCCACCGGGCGCGCCGATGCCGGGCGCGCCGATGACGGACGCGCCAATCCCGGGCGAGCCGCCGGCCCCGGCGGCGGCGGAGGATGCGCCGATGCCGGGCGGCGGGCAGGACGCGCACCGTAACGGCTGCGCGTGCCCCGGGGGCTGCCTGGGCGGCCCCTCGTTCCTCCCGTTGGATCCGTGCTGCGAGTGCGAGGAGTGAGTCTCGTCGTCGCTTCCCACACTGCGCGGCGTGTGGGTGGGGGTCTCTGTTGATCACTGTACTGTACTCTCGCTCTCTCTCTCGCTCGCTCGCTCTCTCGCTCGCTCGCTCTCTCTCTCTCTCTCTCTCTCTCTCTCTCTCTCTCTCTCTCTCTCTCTCTCTCTCTGTGTGTGTGTGTGTGTGTGTGTGTGTGTGTGTGTGTGTGTGTGTGTGTGTGTGTGTGTGTGAGTGTGTGAGTGCGTGTCTCTCTGAGCTAATTCCTCTCCCGCCCGATCCTTGCTGCTTGCTGCGAGTGTCGGGGAGCGTGTGCGACCAGGGGAGTGAGTCTCGTCGTCGTGTCGGGGCGTAGCTGCTTTTTGGAAACATGTTTCTACTCGTTGGACCGGAGATGGGGGGGCAGGTGCACACCCCCTGCGCTGCTCAACCTCTGAGATGTTACTCCAGACACCGTACCGCCGTGTCTGTATCTCCCAACATCTCCCGGTCCCGCTACCCGCAGCTCAAAGCGACGTCTCCCCTAATCTCCACGGCACCCACCGCCCGCGCACACTACTCGCCGACGACTCGAGAGTCGCGCGCACGCACAACCCAGCCGTCGAGCAAGCGGGCATGACCAGAGGCGCCCGCGGAGGGACAACCGGGATCGCCCTCGCCCGAGCCAGAGCCAGCCCTGGCCCCTGGCCGCGCGCGCGGCCTTCTTTCTGGCCCGCATCCACCGCAGCGGCGGCCGCCGCTGCGAAGACTGCGGCCGCGCGACGCCTCCACGAGCATACGATCGAGCGCCCGGAGGGGCTCGGGCTGAGTGCCGTCGCGAGACCTCGGCACGCCTGCGCACGCCTGCGCACGCGGCAGAGCGACAGCGGCACCACCCTCGTCGGGCGCCGACGAAGCGTGCTCGCGGGTCGCCGCTCCGTCGACCGACGGCCGAGACACTTGCTCCGACGCCGCCCCGCCCCCGCCCCGCCGGTCCGGCACCGATATCTCGGAGGACGACCTAAGGAAGAGCGTGGCGGCGCGTCGCCGGAGGACGGCGCGCTCGTGCTCTCGCCGCGAGATCGAGGGGGGGGGGGGGGGGGGGGGGGCTCCCCCCCCAAAAAACCCCCGGGGGAGGGGGGCCTTTGCCCCCACCCCGGAAAAACCCCCGGGTGAAGGAAGGGGGGGGGCCCCCCCCCCCTCCCTCAACGTCCCCCGGCCCAGGGCAAAGAGCTCGGCTCCTCGAGAGCACCGACGGACGACAAATTGCTCCTCAGCAGTGCGACGCCGAGCTGGAGGCTCGGCCGGGAGCTCGCGCGGGCGCGTGGAGCTTTCCGCTCGGGCCAGCAGGAAACGGGCGCCCCGCACAGCGACGCCCGCCGTAGAGTGCCGAGAGCTCGGCTCGACGCGAGCGCCGAGGAAAAGCGATCGGCTCCCAAGCAGTGGGACGCCGAGCTGGAGGTTCGGGCGGGAGCTCGCGCGAGCACATAGCAAGGTGCGTGCGCGGCGGCGTGACACAGGTGAGCGGGCAGCTGGCGCACATTTCGGCTGTGGGAGCTGCCAGGAGTTTGCTCTCTCCGTTCACACCCCTTTGCAGAATAAAAACGACTAGAGGCCTCAGCTTCGCAAAAAAGACCCGATGCGCGGCGGCCTGCGACGGCCCGGGATGAGCTCCCCACGATGCGACTAAGCGAGATCAATTGACCTACTGGACCTATAGTCCACCCCTATCATGTCTATACTGACTGCAGACGACCACATGCCACACAGCATCACGCACAAGCACAAGACCCGGGATCGCAAAAAAGACCCGCGGTGCTCACACACACCCACGCGCTCGTGCATGCCGAACCAGCTCTTAAAAAATACCACCGGGACCGCCTCGCCAAGGCGCACAATAGTCAGACTGACAGTGTTTTCCAGTTGTGGCATCCTCGGCAGCCAGAAATAAATGGCGACCGGCAGACGGTCACAGAGGGTACGGGGTTAAGAGCATTTTCCAGCGGCCCAGGATGACGCATCTGGAAAATGCTGTCAGTGTGACTATTGTGCGCCTTGGCAAAGCGGTTCCGAAGTTATTTTTTCCGAGCGCGGTGGACTTCATCTTGCAGGCGGGGCGGCATGCCGCGGCTCAGCTTCAGGTGAGTTCATCTTGCCGGCGGTACCCGACGCTGCTCGAACGGCAAGTTGTCGACCGCCGGCAGTTGACCGGCAAGATGAAGTCCACCGCGCATGTAATCGGGATGTCCGGAACCGCCTCGCCGAGGCGCACAATAGTCCTCAGTCTGGCGAAGGCCAATTCTGTCATCCTGGGCGTCAGCAGCGGTCTTCGTTGCGCGGCAGTCTTTTTTGCGCAGCTGAGGCCTCTATTTCAGAGTTCTTGTTTTCACAATAGCATGGTCCACTCCGAGTGGACCGTGTGCGTGCCTGTCGGAGCCACTCAGAGTGGCTCGACCTGTGGGATGTGCATATACGCCCTTCGCCTCGGGGTTGCAGTCGGTGCGTGACCTTGATCCGTGTGTTGCGTAAGTAACTAAGTATGACCTGGCGGACGGAGCGGCGCGCTCTCTATGCGGCGCGTGCGGGCGAGGCTGGCGCTGCACCGCCGGCTGCAACCTACTTGCGGAGCTTGGAGTGCTGTCGGTAACCTCACATCCAGGGGCGGCCCGCGGCCGGTGCTTAGCCGCGTAAAGCCGACGTGTACTGGGCTGGGTTTTTAGGCATTGTGGGGTTGGCACTCCCATCGACCCTCATGACCTCCTGCGGTCTCTGAGATGGACACCAGTGGGTGTGGGACCACAGCCAGGATACACTCGAAGGCTGGGTAAGCAGTAGAGGTCGATACTCGACGCGTCCCACATGGTCTGTCGCTGTCGGCACGCTGTCGACAGGACGCGTCGAGCGACACCGGTGGCAGTGCCACCCAGGAGTGGTCGGGCGGTCTCCCGTCATGAGAGAGCCACCATGTGATCCGTATGATGGTTCCTGACAACCGCCTCAGTCACTTTTCGTCACAGTTCCCGCTCTGAGAGGAGCTGCGGGTCAGTTCGACAGCTGGAGCTGTGTCGCCGGCGTGCGGCGGCCTGCCTCCGGAGGTGCCTCTGAGGTGGACATTTGTTGGTCACCGTGAGAGAACGCGTTCGAATTTTCACTCGGGAACTTCAACTGAGCACGCGCACCGGCCAGGGCTACAAGAGTGCCAGTGAGGCGGAGGCGCGAGTCGGAAGGCCGCGACCGTGATTTGGTTTCGACATTTTCCTACAATCGCTGTGAAGCGCCATAGGAGGTACTCGCTTAGTGTGGTAAACCATAGTACCGTATACGGTACTATGAACAGAGAAGCCCATAAAAGTCGCCGCGGCAGTCCACGCCGAGCCGGCCTGCTGCTTGCTCGCACGGCAGCCTTTTCCTCTCGACCAGCCTCAACTTCCGTACAGTCAACATTTTGTCGCTGCGTGCTCGTGGCGAGCTGTGGCGGCGGTCGAAGTTGGCCCAGATTCGACGACGAGCGCCGGACGATAGTACCGCCTCTGTTCGCCCTGTGCATGTCAGGCCAGGCTGCAGCAGGGCACTACCATCGTGCTGCCCTGCTGCAGCCTGACCTTGCCCACTGTGCACAGCCGCCAGAGCACCACCACCGCCCGGCATCGTGTCACGGCGAGCTCCTTCTGCGCCCGCTCGCGAGGCTCTCGCGCTGGCACACTTTGGCCATCTGCTGCTCGCGTTCGGCGAGCTCTTCTCCGCAATCCTGCCACGGTGCCGCCACCACACACCTTCTGGCCGGCCCGAGCCGCGCGGACTCGCCGGCGGGGGCAACGTGTCGACCTCTCTCTCTGGTGCACCACGGGCCGCGACGGCCTGCGAGCAGCTGGCGCGAGGAGGCAGTGTGCCGGCACAGTCGAGCCGGAGCATCGGGTTCTTGATGCTTGTGGGGTCGAGTTTGACCTTATGTGGCATAATATGCAACAATAAGGCTATGCTCTCTCCCGGATTTTTGAGATATGATCCCTCAAAGTCGAATTATGGTTTACTGGTGACCATAGTACCGTCTGTCTTGTTTGCGTTTCTTCCAACGAATACTTTAAAGTCTCGACAATCACTAAGCTGCTTATGTGGCACCGCAGAGGCTCCCTTGGGGATGCCTGAGGCCACCCCAACCACTCACCAAGCCTTACGTGGACGAATTCAAACCTAGTTTTATGGTTTACCCACACTAAATAAATAAATAAATAAAAACGGACACCTCTCTACTGTGAGATGGGTAAAAAGGAACAGGCCCCCGCCCTTGCGATCTTTGTGCAGGGTTCTTTGTGGGTGTGGTCGGCGACTAGCCGGGGTCGTCCTCCCGATGGGGGACTAGCACTAGCCGTCTTCCACATGGTCCCTCGGGTCCCTGCTGCTCCTAATCTCTTCGTACATCCTCCTGCTGATCTCCGCAAAGTCCTGCTCCCTCCCTCGTCTCACCCTGCGCGTCTGCTCCGCCTCACCGTCTTCTGCCCTGCGTCGTCTGGCGACGGGTCCTCCATAGTCGGTCGAAGTCGCCGCCCTCCTCGTGCCTCTTCCCAACGTTCCCTCGGCGGCCGATGCCGTCTGCTCCGGCTCCCCAGTCCCCGGGTCTGCCCTGCTCTCGTCTGCGCTAGTTTCTGCTTCGTCCCCACCGGCGTCTCTCCTCTTCCCTCTCCCCTTCTTGTATGCTTTGCACATCGCGTCGATTCCTGTTCGCGTGAGCACCAGCCTGAAGCCCGCCCAGCATCTGAACCGCTCCCTAAGTCGAAGGAGCATCATCAGTCTCACCCACTTCGCTCTCTGCCCACCGTCTCCGCTCCCTCCCGCTTGAGCCGCCGTCGCGGCCCTCGTTCGTCCCACTGGCTGTTGGCCTGTTCCCACGTTACCTCCATTATCCCTCCTCCTCCGCGACTCCCTCAAGGCTGGCCGGGCCTCCTTCCACCCAGCGAAGAGCTTCCTCAGCCACTCGATGTGTTCCTCTCTCTTCATTATGCGCGCCGTAGCCTCATCATTGAGCTGGATCCACCTCTGCACCGCTCCCGTCGCCGCCTCGGCCACGACTTGCAAGTTCCTCGTGACCCCGGCGCCAAGGTCCCTCCGACTCTTCTCCGGGAGATCATCTACCAGCGCCGGCAACACCCCCCCGACGGCTGGTGCTAGTGCATCGTACCCGTCCTCATCCAGCACCCTATAGCGTGAGCCCTTCAGCGCAGCGACATGCGCTACCCACACTAAGCGAGTATTTTCTTCTCAATAACAAGGCTGTGAACCCAGCCACGTACGAGCCGGTAATAAGGCTTAAGGGTGCGGCGACGCGCGTGCGGGGAGGCGGGTGGAGAGCTAATAAGCGCACCCAGCGGGGCCGGGGATGCTCGGGGACGGGCTGGGCTGCGGGCTAGAGATCCCTGACCCTGGGGATGCGCGTTCGCAGGGGGAGGGGGCCGTAAAAGTAAACACGGGTCGCCGATAAATAAATAAATAAATACAACGGACACGCCAAACGAGGGGTGGGAGAAGGACAGGGTCCCCACCTGCACGAGCAGGATCTTGTAGGACGATCAGGGACACACGGGTCGCCGAGGGTTGGTCTGCGATCTGAGTCAATTTCTTGGACGTGCCAGTTGCGCGCCAGTCCCGTGCCTAGTGTCGTGAGAGGGAGTTTGTTGTAAAGTTCTACGACTTCTGACTCACTTTTGACCGCGCAAGATATAAAGGGTGGCTAAGGGCTCTGCCCGCAAGGCGCCCGCGTCGCAGACGCGGCGATCTGAGCCGTGGACGGACGCAAGCCTTCAGCTGGTGCCAGACGCTGGTGCCAAGACATTCGTAAAATTGAAGCCAAGAACGTCCGCCAAATCCGTGCTTTCGGAGCAACTCGAAGCAACTGAGGGAAAGCTGATCGAGCCCAGCGTGCCCGCGGCCGCCTCCCGCGCAGCGCCGCCGCTGGGGACGACACGCTGCGGAATCGGATCGAGCCCATGCACCGGGCAAAGAAGGACGCTGCAGAAGCGGTTGGAGAGGCAGCCGGCGTCTGCCGTCACAACGAGTCCCAGCGCTGGTTGCGTGGTTGGACATGCGCGTCGGCTCGCCCGAGGACTGCTGTCGCGACCCTCCCGTCGTGCCGCAGCCTCCGACGAGCTCTGCAACCGAGGAGAGTGAGGGTGCGCCTCCCCTCACTGCTGGCCTGGCTGCGCACCGCCCCACAAAGCACCCCCTCGAGCATCTCTACAAGTACAAGTACAAGGGGACCTTCTCCAAGTCGTCAACGCGCCCGGCGGCTCCGGCAAGACTTTAGCCTTGGCCACCCTCCTTGCGGAGCAGGAGGAGATCCGCTCTCGGTCGGCAACGTGGCAGCTAGTCGAGAGACTCGGGGTAGTTGTGGCACCCCCCTGAGTGAGGACTAGGAGAGAGAGAGCTTTCTTGTTTTGAGCTTTTGTGGTGGGGGTGTACGCAATAACGGGACCCTGGGTAGTCGTTCTCTCTAGCTCCCCTTCTAGCTCTTAGTTAGCATGAGCTGTGCCCTGTGTCCGACCCCTTTTGCGCAGCAACACCTTAAACTTTTAGGCCCTCCAAATTCGGGTCGGAGCGTAGCGGAGTGGGCCCCGAGTTTGAAAAGGGCGACGGACGCTTGCGTCCTAGCCTCCAACAACGCCTCCCCGGCGCAGAGGGCCCCCCGGAGGGACGCTCAACCGCTCCACGCCACGCCGCTTGCGGCGGTCCTATTCCACGCTAGGGCGCTATCTTTATTTTGGTTGGACGTGTCCGGTGTCGCCGCTCTACAATTGTAGCGTCACAAGGACCGGACGCGGAAGAGCTGTCTCCGGAGGACAATATGCAGGAGTTGCGAGTCTGGGGCGGCGGAGTCGCCAACGCGCAGGAAGACACGCTGAGTCGACGGGTGGACAAGAATGCCTCGACGCTGCAGGTGGTCGTCTACAAGCCGGATCATACCAAAGGCGGCATTCTCATACGGCCAAAGTACCACCGCGGAGACCGACGCGGGGTGCAGACTTTTCCGGTCCTGACGCACATGAGCATCAGACTGGTCCCGTCAGTGATGCCGGCCGAGTTTGGCTGGCGGCTTCCAGCGCTTAAGCAGCTCACTCTCCTGCTGGACCTGTCCGTTCGGCCGCGCTGGAACCGGTACGAACCCGGCGAGGCGCGGCGAAGCATCTTTGACGATGGGGAGTCGTATCTTCGCACCGCGCTTCGCACCAGGCTCGGCCGGCTGGTGGATTCGGGCAACAACGGTCTCGCAGCGCGAGTAGCCGCGACATCTCCGTCCCTGGAGCGTGTGTGCCTCGACCTGTGCTCCTCCGAAGATAGCTCCCAGTCTTGCCTGCCCTTGCTCACCGTCTGCCGCGCAAGCATGCCATGGGACGTGGAGCGGCTCTTTCACCTGATCAACCGCAAGCCTGACCCCGCAGCGACAGGTTTCGAGACCGCCGAGCGCTGCCACGATGCCCTCCGCCAAGCGTGGCCTCTCCTCCTTCCCCTCCTCAAGGCCCAGGGCTGGGCACCCGCGTGGGAGGTGCGCGTGGCCCCGTCGCCGCCAACCGCCCAAGGGCTGGCCGTACTCGGGCTGACGCGCCCGCCCGCGGGACTTGAACTGTGGCCCTCGAGGGGCGTGGCGGACGAGGTGCTGGTGGGCTGGCTGCAGCTGACGTGCGCGAGCGCGACGCGCGACGGGGCGCCATCCGGAGCGGCAAGCAGCGCCAGCGGCGCGGTCTCGCTCGCCTGAAACGACGTTAGGTCATGCACGCTTGCACCGCCGTACTGGGGGCTTGCAGCCACATGCCCACATCTCTACCGGCGGCGCAGCGCCCCTGTTATGGCGGCCGGTCTCGATTTTTCTTTATTTTGTAACGGCAAAGACCGAAAAAAAACAAGAGCGAAATTGTTGGGAAAGATAAATAAATAAACAAAGAATCAAAGAAAACCCAAATCGCAAACATAACAAAAACAAAGGGGGAGACAATAAAAATAAATACAGGAGAGACGGGCGACGAAAGGACAAAAACAAAAGAGTTGTTTGGTACAAGTCCGCCGAATTTAAGATTTTAGAGGCCGGCCGCAGGCCGGCGATTTTCAGATTTTAGACCAAGATTTTAGAGCTCTGGAGCGCATTTTCGCAAGATTTTAGCTGTAATTTCACACATTTTCAAGATTTTACAGCTCACAGCCGCCCCGCCTTCAAATCTTAAATTCGGCTGACCTGTATTGCTAAAAATCTCTCGAAAGGAAAAAACAGTGCGCGCCCCGCCCCGTTCGCAGGTGTTGAAGAGGCGCAAATCACTCTGTGTGACACATTCTTTTCTTTATTTTCAGGCAATCACAAACGCTATTTTGTCGTACTCCTCTTAGCGTTGAAAATTCCTTTTGAGTTAGTTTCGGTATTTTTCTTTATTTTGCGAGCCCTGGCGACGCTCCAACCTCCGCCTCACCATGTCCGAGAGGCAGGAGCCGACGGCTGGCTCCAAGAGCCAGCTCAAGAAGCAGGCAAAGATGCTGCACAAGCAGCAGGCCAAGGCGGAGCATGCCGCCAGAGGTCACAGCGCGATGCTGCACGAGGCGCGGCGGCTCCGCGAGCGGCTGAACAGCGACGCGGCCAACGCGGTTCCGGACGCCGCCCTCTACCCGCAGCTTCCCCGCGCCTCCGCGTGCGAGCTCTTTGAGGCCGTCGGCGACGAGCTGCTCCAGCGCACCGCCCTCCTGCAGCGGCCCGACGGCGAGGAGGACGGCGCCGAGGAGGACGCGGCCTCGGCGCAGGCGCGGTCGTGCCGGGTGATCGAGAAGTTCCTGTGGCGCGCGCAAAAGTACAACGACAAGTACGCCAGCCAGGAGCTCAGCCTTCTCTACCAACTCTACCGGCTCGGCGCGCACGACGGCTGCGACCTCGTCGTCGACATCGGCGGAGGCAACGCAAACCTGAGCTGCCTGATCGCCCTGGTGTTTAACGTGCCCGTCATCTGCGTCGAGATGGACTCGCCGCGCCCCGAACTGCGGGGCGAGTTCTGGCTGCCGCCGCACCTCAAGGCGGCGAGGGCGGCCCGGCGGGTGGAGGCGGACCCTTCGCGGAAGCTTCCCCGGAGCATCCCTGTAGGCGGCGAGGGCGGTCCGGCGGGTGGAGGCGCTCATCCAAGACTACAGCCTGCCGGAGGGGTACAGCAACGTCCTCGTGCTCGGCAAGCACCTCTGCGGGCCCGGCACCGACGCCGGGATCGAATTCGTGCGGAGACACCTCGGCGTGGTGGCGGCGCCTCTGCTGCCCGCCGGCCGGCGCGAGCTCTTCTTCACTGCCTCGTCTCCGCTGCTGCTAGGTGCGCGGCTGCGTCTTTGCGACCTGCTGCTGCTGCAAGCTGGTCGGCGCGCCCGGCGCCGGCAGCGGCGGGTCGCACCTCTTCGCAGACCTCTACTTTGGGCCGGCGGCGGCGGCGGCGCAGGCCGGCGAGGTGTGCGAGCCGTGCGAGCCGTGCGGGCCGGCCGAGGTGGGGCCGGCGGCGGCTGCGCCAGCCGATTCGCCGGTGGCTGCGCCAGCGGGGTCGGGCGGGGAGCGGTTGGTCGACCGGGAGGCTGCGCGCGCGAGCGAGGAGGCGCTGGGCCGAAAGCAGAGCGCGCGAGCCAAGGAGGCGGCGCGGCTCGCCGCTGCGAAGGACGAGGCGCGCGCCGCGGGCAAGCAGCTCTGCCGCCGCTTCCTCCGGTACGGCAGCTGCGAGGACGGGGGCGCGTGCCGCTTCCACCATTGCGCCGCGGCGCCGCAGGGCGTGGAGGAGGACGGCTTCGGCTCCCTCTTTAGCAAGTACCGTTTCCCGGCGGCGGAGGCGGAGGCGGAGGCGGAGGCGCCGGCCGCCTTCCTGCGGCGCGTGCTCCCCGCCGTCGCGCGTGCAACCTCGTGGCGAAACGCGGTCTTCAACCCGAAGCACCGCGGCTCGACCGCCTACTCGGACCTGCTCGAGCAGGCCGAGTTCTTCGAGTCGTGGATCCAGGGCTTCCGCCGCCGCCGGCTGCGCGAGCTCTTCGGCGCGCGGGCTGCTCGAGCAGCCCCGCAACGGCGGCGGGCGGATTCACGGCGGGCGCGTGTGAACAGGCGAGGAGGAGGAGCTGCTCTATTGCGGCGACGACGTGCACAGCCAGCAGAACCGCTGTCTGGTCAGCGGGCGGACGCTGCGGGGCGGAGGGGCGGACGGCGGGCACGAGGCCTTCCTCCGGCTGCTCGAGGCGCAGTTTGTCAAGCACGGAGCCTCGCTGCCGATGGACTTGCGCGTGCGCGGGATCGTGAGCGCAAAGTTCGGCTACGACGGCAGCGCGCTGCCGTGGGACCCGTCGGTGGAGCTGGAGCAGGAGGGCGGTTGACGCCTTGAGCGGATGAGCGCCCGGGCCGGGACTCCACGCCGTGGTTGTGTGTCGATCGTCTGTCGATCATATTGCATAGAGATTTCTATGCGATATTTTCTTCTTGTTGGATTGCTGTTACTGTACTTGGCTAAAGTCTGTGCAGCTTGTCGGGATCACGATCCCGGCGTGAACACGACTCTAACTGACGGGTCCGTCCCTCGAGGTCCGTCCCTGACAGTGGCATGCGCCGCGCTGTGGCGCGTGCCACTGTCTTTGTTTGAAGTTAAAAGTCGAATCACCTTTCAGAGCGCCGTCGGCGCTGATCCCCGATTTCCTCCCACGGACCGCCCATCCGGCACCGCTCCGGGACGCACGCCGGCGAAGCACCATCAAGCTGCTGTACGGCCCCGGCATCGCCTTCCCAGGCTTAGCTAGACTGAGAGATATTGTGCACATGGTTAGTCTCTACAATATATACACTGACACTGAACCTCCCAGAGCTCGTCCCGGTCCGCCACGGCCATCCTCGGCCTCCGGAGGGCCCCCGGCCGCGGCGCGGTGCGGCGGCGTCACAAATCCGACCACAGAGCACCGGGACGCGGTCGGGGGATCTGAGGCCCAGTGAGGCGTATGCATTGCCCATCCAGGGCTATCACCTGGACCTATCAACAGGCGCCTGCGGCGCCGTGGCCACGAGCTGCTGTTCACAGCTGCACAGACTTTGGTACGGCACAGTACAAAGAAATCGGGCGCAGAGAGATCCACTCACGCCCCATGCGCGATCGGCGACTCGCACCTGCAGCGGGCGGGCCGTGGTGCAGCAGAACCTTCGACAAGGCGACAGCACCCGAAGTGCGCCGGCACTGCACGGCGTGCTGCCTATCGCGAGCCAACTCCTCCTGTGCTGACTGTATGGGCGCACTGCTGGACCGGCCGGCAGACATGCAGGCCACGGGCATGATCAACCAGCGTGGCGCACAGGCTCTGCTCCGAGGCAGGCGCACGCTCCACGCAGCGCTCTTGCGTGCGACACCGCGCCGCAGACCGCCGCTCACCATTCTCATCAACCTGGATGGGTCGACGGTGCGGCGGGCGAAGATGAATCGCACGCTCGAGACGGCGCGCATGAGGCCTTGGGCGCGCCTCCCGGCGCTGTACGGCACCAATGTCCACCCAGAGGCGATGGCACGCGCCGGCCTGCTGCGCAGCGCGCTCGCGCGCAACAACGTGGGCTCCGCCCTCTCGCACCTCGCCGCGTGGCGCTTCCTCGCCGCGGCGAACACGTCGGCGCTCGTGCTGGAGGACGACGCGCTGCTGCCCTCGCGCTTCCGCGAGCGGCTCGGCGCGCTGCTGCGCGCCACCGGTGAGCGCTTCGACCTGCTGCACCTCTCGTACTTCGACCACCTCACCGCGCCGCGCTGCGTCCACCCGCTCGCCGTGCGCACGCTGCCGCCGACCCCAGGCCGCGCGCCGGCGGCGCCGGCGGCGCCGCGTGTGGCGGGCCCGCCGATGCCGGCGCCGGCGGGCTGGGGCGAGGCGCTGGCGGCGAAGCTCGTGCAGCTGCGCTGCCCGCGCGGCATCAACCCGTCGGTGACGGCGTACGTCATGACGGCGGCCGGCGCGGCGCGCGCGCTGCCGCTCGCCGTGCCGCTCGGCGAGACGGTCGACTTGCAGCTCGGCACGCGCTCGGCGAGCCTGCGCTGGCTCGCGCTGCGGCCGCACGAGGCGCTCGCGCGGCACGACTGGGGCCTGCGCTCCATCCGCGTGCACGGGCTGCCGCCCAACGTCCAGTCGAGACAGTGAGGCGGCCCCACAGCCAG